TGTGGCAGTATTCAACAGGCAATAGCAATATCCTCTTCATTTTGTTGTTTTGCAACCCCAATCTCTCCCGCACCCCCTATATACAATAAGGATGAGTATATATGTGTGCTTGTGGGTGTGCAAATCCCGTCTCTTCCTTTAGACGTGAAGTCAAACAAATAAAGTTGTGTGTTGACTACATCAACAGGCTTTCCACTTTTTACTTTTCACGTGTTTATTAGACTACGATTGCACGGAAGTCATTTATTATATGTATAACTATTACATGCGATTTCTGGTATATAGTTGATATATACCTAACGCATATTAAGTATTACGTATAGGTAAGCACCCAAGTATGCTTTTACGAAGTGACGAGTGTCAAAAGTCCATTTCGAGGTGTAACGCCCATCTGTTTAAAAATGGTGTTTCCGGTCCGATAACAATGTTGTGTGTCATTCATAGATAAGAGATACATAATTTATAGCAAGTATATAGTAGAAAAAGCGATAATAATATTTATATCACAAAGATAGTAAGCTCACTGCGTCGTCCACCGTGTAGGTACGCAAATCCGAAAACTCAAATATTTATGGCGGACTTGGCTGATTCGCCGACGCGTTCTCTATCGTTGTCCCCAAGGGGACAGAGCGCTATAGCGATGCGCGTTTTATTGTTCCGGGTTCCATGTTTTGTTTGCGTTTAATCAAGCCCTAATGAAAATCACATGCCGATAAAAATAGATTTGTTAAATGAGTCCCTATACATCATATACCACACAGTTAGAGTAAGCAGCAAACTTCAGCCGTGCGTCCTTTCAGTCCTGGTTATTTGAAGCCGTGGTATTAATTTTAAAAATTCGGTAAATAGTTTATTTGTTAAGTTTTTCTCGGTGCAATATAAAATTCTTTTCTAATATTTTAATATTAAACTACCTGTCGTGCAGGAATGGGTATGAGTTTTTGGAGAAATAAAGAAAAAGAAACTTTAAAATGAGTCGTAAAGTATTTTATGTTCCGACTCAAATTAAAAACGAACAGATATAAAAGTGTGACAAATGTTATAAGTTAAATCATAAATTTTCCCTTTTCTATAATAAACCCTTAAGCAAGTTCTAAGTAAATTTTCTTATAGCTGGGTATACGTGGTTAAAATTAATAGAAACAGCAAATAGAAAAGCAGATTGAACTAAAACAGTAGAGTATTTTTCTAATCTTTTAACTTCTGCAGACTGAAAGTAATTAGAATTTTTGTAAGTGACAGGACTCTGATGAACTAGATAACTGATTCGGTTGTTTCGAAAAGAACTGTCAACCTGGTGGTTGGTGGTGGTGGCCGAGAGCGAAAAGTGAAGTTGCGCGGTGAGGTTGTTTGTACGTGCTTCGGTCATACTAAAACAGTCCAATCAAACAAAATCAATGACAGGATTTGCATGTCGTCAGCCAATTTGTCTCGATCTTACGTCGAAATGACACACAAAAATTTCCAAGCGTTTCGTTCTATTGCCAAAATCAAGTCCAATAGATTGTCATTAAAAGATACTGCATGGTGAAAGCCCAAAGTTTCATATTCGACTTTCATTGTCATAAAAACTACTGTGGCAAAGGCCTACGTACAGAAAAATAAAATGTGAAACGTTTTTAAACTTCCTTTTCACTCGATAGAAATAGATGGATGAAAAAGTTTAGAAATGAAGAGACATTAGAAACAGTAGGAGGCCTTCAGAAATCAATAAGAAACAAGCTAGATTGGTTGTAGGACACCTTCTCATAAATGGGCTCATTATTAGAAGTAGAGGTAGAGATAATTAAAGATGTAGGTTAGTCTAGTTTTCGAGAAAAGCGAAGATAGGAAGAATTAGTGGTGCGTGACCAACTAGTTTTCGTACTTTATGATGAAGATGCCTACCGTATTTTATTCAGAGTACATTATATAATACTTGGACTAGAATCATATGCTGTTCCTTCTCAATCAAATACAAATTAGCGAACTCCTTTTTACATGAATGACCAGAATGTCTGAACGTTAATTTACATGGACAATAGAGTTACTCGAATTACACGTAGGGGTTTACCTTGTTATGTTGCGGCACAATTTGTAATTATAACCAAGATTATCTAAATCGGTTCACGTCCACAACGGACTGTTGTTCGTAACTCGCTCTGTCCCCCGAGAAAAGAGAAGAACGTGCTTGTAAGTCGCGACACGCAGAATTTCAGTAATTTCCACAACTTCTCCTTTACTATGAATGATTTTGGCGCCATTAATAATCATAATTTAAGTATTACATCGCCTGTACGGCTTGAAATTCATTAACTTTCTCAAATACCCGTCTGAATATTTGTGATGACATTTAAGCAAAGAAAATAGACCCAATAGGAAATTTTTTAAGACAAATTAAACGCTGTTTTTCTTACGTAGGTACTTACTCTCTTCTCTTATGCTGTAAAATTAAAATAAAAAATTGTGTGTTATAACAATACAGTTTTATATGGTAAATAACTTCATTGCGAAAGTGGAGGGCGTGGAAATTACAAGCACGCACCGGAATAGCGATTACGGCAGCGATAGCGATAGCAACCGACCGCTGTTATCTCGCTAATACAAACTCCATAACTCTGGCACGTTAATCAACTTGGAAATCCTCAAGTAGAACAACTTACAACTCACTTACCAGGATAGCAGAATTATGCAGATTCGGGCAACTTCCACAAGATTAAGAACCTTGCTAGCATCGTAATACGTTCAAACTACAATGGTCTCTTCGTACCTTTTCTCTCAAACACCCCCATTTCTAATAAATGACGCCATTAACAACCGTACTATTACTTGTAATAACTAAATTAACAAAGAACAATCTTATGACTACCTACCACAAAGTAAAATTTTACAATTATACATATAATATCTAAAAAAAATTTAAAGGATTTCCCTGTCTTAGTCCGGATACAAGTTTCAGAAAGCGTATAATTCGGCCTGCGGGGTCCTAAAATATTCCCTTAAGTACTGATATATTGTCGTTGGACCTGTTACTGCCGCCAAGCAGTGAAAAATTGAAACTAGTCGTACAAGAAAAACAAACAAAGATGTTCAAGTCAGTACAGGAGCAAATTAATAAATTATTAATCGACATTTAATTTAAATTTTTGTTTTTGCATTAAATCTTAACTAGTATTCATCATGAAATTTTGTAGGTACATTATTAGGGGTACAGAAAATGACATAGGGTACCTTTTTACAAAAAAAAAAAAATGCTGTTCCCAAAGGATAGAAAACTTAGTTTTATGTGATCATCGATGACATTAGACACGTATTTAGGGCATCAACGCTAGCGAAGCAGCAGATAAAATCTAGTTAACTATAATTAGCAATTTAACATACACATAAACAACCCAACATACAACAAATATTAATGTGAAAATTCATTTTTAATTTTCAATCCCACTACAAACTACTTCAAGTTAATGAGGGAAGAATTTGTTGCACTTGTCACACTCTTTCCGGGAATCGAACCCGGGTCCTTTGGCTTTACGCACCAATGCTCTGACCACTAAACATAGTGTAAAGCCAAAGGTCCGGGGTTCGATTCCCGCCAAGGGTGTGACAACAGCAACAAATTTTTCCCTCATTAACTTAAGGTAGTTTGCAGTGGGATCGAAAATTAAACATGAATTTTCACATTAATATTTGGTGTATGTTGGGTTGTCTATTATTATAATATTTGATATTAACCCCTATTAAATGTGGAAGTGTTTCATATTATAGTATTAATATACCAAATATTGTAAGCCTAGCAAATGTAACTATAACTGACTACTATCCACGAACAAGCAATAACATATTACGTAGAGATAATTAATTACCTAAATTTCGTTAAAAAAATACACATTTTTAGTTGAAGGGGTAAAAAAGTAATTAGTGCCTAGTTATGAATTTTTGGTTAATTTTCATTATCTATCTATCACTATCGTTTTAATACCGAAAAGAAGAAAAACGCCTAACATTATTAGCAATTTTTAAAAAATGTTATTGAAAATTATGGTGAAAGCGCCGGGACAATACAGCCATAATTCTAGTTTCATTGAAGTAAATCAATGAATTTTCATCTTCAATTTATATTTATTCCATGCAAACGAAATTATAACCAATTAATATTTTACTTTCTACTATTAAACTACAATTTGTAATACTGTATATAGACAACCCAACATGCATAAAATATATACTCTATTTAATTACGAAGAAAGTTGGACAACGTGTTTTCTTACGAAAGTAACTTTTTTATTTTAAATTCAATATTACCCTTATTAGCAATATTTTTTAAAAACACTTGTAAATTTTGGATATAAATCCTTACACATTTTTATAACATTAATACTGTAGCCATTAAAAAAATAAAATAGGAAATCCACAGAATCCCAGATTTCGATTTAATTTTTGAAGAAGCACATTTGCAACTACTGAGTTCATTTAGAATATTTGTAATCGGTAGTTCCCGCTGATTAAAATTTCCTTAACTCAGTGTATTGCGTTTTCGTACAATTTTATTCTCATACAAGAAGGATCAAATTTGACATTTGTTCAATGTGAAATATGTATGTGAGATAGTCGGGACAGAAACAAACGGTGACATTTTGTGAACATACAGCATCCATCGTATTTGACATTTCAATTTCGTCCTCAATTACCGCTACTGCCTGTCTCTCTGATTGATTTATTTTTCTTTTTCGTACAATCTCAACGAGTCAAGGTCGGCTAGATTGGGAATGACTCATTATAATATCGACGTTTTCCACTTCTTCACTCACAATTATTATTCGTTTTTTTATTTTTTTGTTTAGTTCGTTTTAAGAAATAATATCATAATATGCAATTTTCATTCGTATCTTAATTATATATTTATCTACAATTTATTTGAACGAATAAGTTTATTTATTACCTTCATGTGCATTCCCACTTTTATTTATGTCAGGATTTGAAAAAAACATTTCAAAAATTAAACACAATTTATTTACACAATAACAAATAAGCGATCTTATGTTTCATTTACCAACAAAAAAAAAACTGAATTAAGTAGATTTTTTTATTAGATTGGCTGAGTTTCAGGCTCTTTTTTTGACGGTGGTTCTCGCTCTTTGTTCCACTCTTTAAGTCCTTCGGGTAGAGTGGTGTCTTCCTCTAGCGATCCAGTTCCTTCGACGAATTCCTCATACGTCGATTTTTCTGGGAAAGGTCTTTTACCAAGCAATTCTATCATATCTTCCCTGCTTAGAATTTCTTGTTTCAAAAGTCTTTCGGCCACTTTCCGAATATCTTCTTTATGGTGTGTAAGAAGTTCTTGGGTCCTTTTATATGCTGAATTAATTAAGTTTCTCACCTCAGAATCGATTATTTGAGCCGTACTTTCTGAATATGGTTTTTCTAATACCATTTCTCCTTCACGGGGTAAATCGAAGCTTACATTTCCTACCTAAAAAAGTAACAAACAAAATTAAGTACAAAGTAATGCAATGTCTCTCTTTCTCTCCTTGTCTCACCTTCTCGTTCATTCCAAACTGTACTACTTGCGCATAAGCACTTTGCGTAACTTTCTTCAAATCGTCTTGGGCCCCCGTGGTGATACGTCCGAAAAATAATTCTTCAGACACTCTTCCTCCTAATGTCATGCACATTCTGTCAAAAAGCTGTTCCTTTGAATATAAATATTGATCTTTCGGTAAATATTGAGCATAGCCGAGACCTTTGCCTCTTGGTATAATTGAAACCTTCAATAAAGGATCTGCATATTGCAAAAACCATCCGGCAATGGCATGTCCCGCTTCATGGTATGCTACAGTTTTTTTTTCTTCAGGAGATAAAACGTTCGTCTTCTTTTCCATGCCAGCTACCACACGTTCGATAGCTTGTTCGAAGTGTTTCATTGTGATAAATTCGTTAAGATCTCTGGCCGCAATCAAGGCTGCCTCATTGCAAACGTTGGCTATGTCTGCGCCTGTGAAACCAGGTGTAAGAGCGGCCATTTTTCTTGCCAATTCGCCCTTATTTAAGTTCGTCTTTAAGGGACCTAAATGAACCTAAAACGGATAATTTAAATAGTTAGGAAACATGATAGATATCTCATTTTAAGATGCATTCTTACCTTAAATATACTAGCTCTGCCTTTAATGTCTGGAGCTGGAACATATATTTGCCTGTCGAATCTTCCAGGTCTTAGCAAGGCCTTATCTAAAATATCAATTCTATTGGTAGCAGCCAATACAACTACATTTGTTGTGGTGTTGAAGCCATCCATTTCAACTAGGAGTTGATTAAGAGTATTTTCCTGTTCAGAATGGCCCCCAAAACTGCGTCCACCCCTCTTTCTTCCGACCGCGTCTATTTCATCAATAAATAGGATACAGGGGGCATGTTTCCGTGCCATAGCGAATAAATCTCGTACCCTTGACGGTCCCACGCCCACAAACATTTCCAAAAATTCCGATCCAGAAACGGTTATAAATGGAACGTTTGCTTCACCTGCAGTTGCTTTGGCTAGCAATGTCTTGCCAGTACCAGGAGGTCCTGTCAACATTGCCCCCTTAGGAATTTTGGCTCCTAAGTCTATGTACTGTTGGGGGTTCTTTAGGAAATTAACGAATTCCATTATTTCGATTTTGGCTTCTTCACAACCTGCTACATCTTTAAACCTAACGCCAATGTCACTAGAATTGATTAGTTTTGCAGTACTTTCCATAACACCTCCAAAAAGACCTCCACCTTTGCGTCCTTTACGACCTCCCATCATTTCAGCTGACCTTCTCATCATATAAATAAGGAAACCAATTACAATAACAGTAGGAAGAAGACCAGAAAGACTAGAAGCTTCCAGTTCAGATTTGTAGATTACAGGCACAAAGTTTGAAGGTTCAATATTCATTTCAACTTGTGCATTTTCCAGATTCCTCTCAAATGAATCTACACTTCCAATATTAAACCATAGTGTATTCTAAAAATTATTGTTAAAATTTTGCATTTTATACAATAAACTTTGAATGCTTTACCGATCCATCTACTGTATTTCCAGGTGTCAGTTTCACTCTAACCCACTTCTTATTAACAACTTCCAATTTTTCAACTATTCCTTTCGCAAGATAACTTTAAAACATGTTAACATTAACTAAGAATTTTGAAAAATCCCATTACAACTTACTTGTGAACAAATTCCTTCCATCCAATCTCTTTGCTTCCCATTTCCCAAAGTGCAAGAGTTGCTAAAAATGCTACAGCCCCTGCAGCTCCTAACAAATACCATTTCTCTTTATCACCTTCACCAAATGGTTTACCGCCACTACCCCTAGAAAAGGTCTTCTTTAAGTATTTCTTTTGTACATCACAACACTACAATTTGTAACAATTTTAAAACATCTACCTGTTACCAGTTCCACCAAACAATCCAAATGACCACTGATCAAATGGTTTTTGTCCTGATGATGTAGGACTTCTAGAAGGGGGCGGTTTTGGCTGTTCTTGTTTAGTGTCCTTCTCCTTAACATTTTTGGCTTCTTTTCCAGGTTTTTTATCTACTTCATTCGCTGGTTGTTTTGCTCCTGGCTTAAAATATTTCTCAAAACCTTTCGGTGGTTTTTGGCAAAACAGTCTGTACTTATGTAGCACAGTTTCCAAAGCATTTACTGTCTGCGATTAATTAAAAATATTTACACCATTGATTTTACAATCCTTAATATTTAATATAACCTACACTCCTCGATATACAAATTATATATTTAATACAAGAAAAAAGATAATGAAAGAACCGTGTCAACATATACTACTGCATAAGAGTAAATTAGTTATACCTTTGCAGTACCCGAGCTGTACCCGACACTTTGCCATAGCAGTTTTTCTATTCTTCGACTGATACTTAAAATTCTGTGTGCCATATCAGAATGAGTGGTAAATTTGATTGAAAATGAAATTTATCGTAATGAAACTTTGCATAGTAATATCTTCTTTATGGTGTGTAAGAAGTTCTTGGGTCCTTTTATATGCTGAATTAATTAAGTTTCTCACCTCAGAATCGATTATTTGAGCCGTACTNTACCCGAGTTGTACCCGACACTTTGCCATAGCAGTTTTTCTATTCTTCGACTGATACTTAAAATTCTGTGTGCCATATCAGAATGAGTGGTAAATTTGATTGAAAATGAAATTTATCGTAATGAAACTTTGCATAGTTGCGGGTTTCTTAAACCCTGTTAAACCCTTACAACCATAACCAAAAATTCTACGATTTCAATGGATTTCATAATTTTCAATAATTTTGATAACCATAGATAAGTAGATAACTTTATATTCTAGTTCATTGAGTAACATAGATAATGGCAAGTATATAGGAAGACGTAGATACAGATACGTTGTAGTAATTAAACCAAATTAAAGGAAGTTATAATTACTTTATTATCTAACAATATATGATTTGAACATTAATTTTGACTTATAATTGTTAAATATTATATAATACGAAAAGTATGCGAAATTTTTACTTCTTCAACGATGACATAGTAGTCTTACGTGACATTAGACAATTCCTAAGTCAGCAAAATAAGTTAGGTTAGTTCTATACTATTCAAAATTATTGAAAATTTTTGAGTATACTAATAATAATTTCAAGTTTATATCAGTTCGTAGTTCTACGTAAATATATTTTCATGTGAAAAGAAAAAGAGAACGGAATGGATGTCGCTGTGACAGAAATTCTAAATAAGTTGGAAGATGAAGAAATTATTGGATTAGCGAAAACGGTTACTCAAGGTCTTCTAAAAAGCAAAACAGAAAATCGAAAAGGTACAATGATTTCTTTTTCTACTGTTGAATTATGAATTTACGTGTTATGTGTTCAAGATGCCATAGAAGCAATTTTAAAGCATTCTCCCAACGAGTTAAGCATTTTAAGAAGAAAATGTATAACCAAAGATGTGTTATTTGAATATGTCCATCAAAATGATATCCAAGTTTCTTTGCCAATTACAAAACCAGAACTAATTGATGTAATTTTTACTTTTTGGAAAAAGAGGGCTTCTGATAAGAGTACTAACAGTGAATCCAACATTACTCCTTCTATTGAGCTATGTAAATCAACCAGTAACGTTAATAATATGGCAGAACAGTTTTCAGCATGGTTTTATAGTATGTTGAATCAATCTCGGCCAATGGGAAGAGAACACTTTTGGAATGATGCAAAATTAACTGTTAATATTCTAAATGATGCACAGTGTCAAAATCATAATATTGACGGAGACACTTTAGAAATTGTAAATGTGTTATTTAAATTGAAACAGGAATATAATCTGATGTTTAATCCCAATCTAGTGAAAGAAGGTGTTCAGGGACGATTAGATCCCCACGGTCTTGTTCTTGTTTTGGCATGTGGAACATTACATATAGGTAGTGACTGTGTAGGAGTTTTTGAACAAGTGTTTGCCTTAGTTAGAGACCCTTCTGCAGATAATAACTGGAAAATAAAGAATACTGAACTAATATTAAGAAGAAAAATTGTAAATGCTGCTCCAAAGTTGTGTGACAGTAAACTGACTGATGGTTTATTGCAGTTGCCCTCAAGTCAGATGTAGCAATTTGGTAAAACAATGTTTTTGTTTATACGAATATTTATTTTTTGTTTATGTAAATATAGATAGGTATTTATTTGTTACAGAAATATTTGTTTAGATACAGAGAAAATGTTGCTTTGTTTCACCACAAGTACATATTGTTAAAGAAATTCGTTTTGTATCATTTTTCCTTGCCAAAACATACAGAATTACAAATGAATTCACTAAATGTACATGTATGGGATAGAGCTATTACAAGAAGGCTACACTTATGGAACTGAGTTATGAATTTTGAATTTTTAAACAATTGCTCAGTAAATGCTCAATAAGAATCAAAAACTGCTCCAACTAAAAAATTAAACGTCTATGAGGTATTTGCGATTGAAAATTAATTTATTCTTTTTACTACCGTATGAACGTTCGGGTAGGTCACCTGAAGTGAAGTTTATTAATTTTTTCAACCCCTTTTAAGTCGCCAAAAAGTAACAGTTTTATGAGACGATACTCGATCATGTTCGGCAATGTATGTTGGGTTGTCTAACTAGTACATTCCCATTTTTTCATTATTTTATTAATGTACCATACTTTACTTCCTATGTGCATTTTATTTTAATTGACAACAGAAATTTGGCGATAACTCACATTTGTGCTTAATTTATACAACTTTAAATTTAATTTCCTATGTTTAGAGGTTTACATCTGTATGCGCTTGCGCTATTGAGGAGTCCGGATATGGCCCGATGATGGTCGTATTGGCCCGGAAATAGATCAAGTTTGTTTTAAGTAAGTACATGTAAAGGTGCATTTATTACTTTTTAAATAGAAATAAAAAGTAATATGATAACTAAACCTGTTTCATGATCGTATATTAAGTAATTTTGTAAGTATGTTCTAACTTTAAAGAAGTTGCATCATGATAATGTTATTTTTTTAATACTACTCTTATTATAACTATGATTTGTTCTTCTTTATTGTATTTTAGAAATAATGGCTCCAACAGAACTGTTTTCTCTTAAATGGAACAATTTTTATTCTAACCTTACTTCTGGTTTTCATGACCTTTTAGCAGAACATGATATGGTTGATGTAACAATAGCTGTTGAAGGACACTTTTTACAAGCTCACAAAATTGTTCTCTCTGTATGTAGCCCTTTTTTTAAACAACTGTTTAAAATAAATCCTTGCAAGCATCCTATAGTGATACTGAATGATATCTCATTAGAGAACTTAAAGGATATCCTTGAGTTTATGTATCTTGGAGAAGTGAATGTATTAAAAGATAATCTCGCCTCCTTTTTAAGAACTGCACAACTTTTGCAAGTTAAAGGATTAACAGGAGATGAGACGGTAAATATTGATACATTCAAATGCAGAATCAAGCCTAAGTTTGCTTTCTGAGCCAACAGTGACATTTCACTTGTTCGTGGAGAGACTTCATCAAGATAGATTATTAGGCAGTCATTTGTTTGTAACTTTATAAAACCTTTACACCTAAAGGTAAAATGTTGCTATTGGCTTAAGAAATAAACTGTTTTTTACCCCTTTATTTTCTTTCACTCTACATGTAAACCAGAATAAGGGAAATGGAAATGCTAGCCATTTACTTTTCATATCCAGTAATATTTATGTTGTATATTGTAGAATGATACTAGCTCAAAAAATCTTAATAAAAGGGAGGCAATATGTGAGCAACATACAAATAACCAATTGGAAGATTCAACTAAATTTTCTTTATTACCAAATGATCAAAAACAGTCACATTCTAAAAACTCAAGTCCTGCAGAAAAGATTTCAGTAAAGAAGGCCAAGCAAGAATTAATTTTTTCTCAGCAATCCTTAGTTAGAAATTTTCAAAAAGTGGTACATTTTCATTTAATATCTTATACAATACTATCATCAGATGCTTAACAATTTTTTTCAGAATGGCATTGACCTAAGTAATAATGGAGTTAGTGGTATGGAAGATTCAAATATTAGCCATTATTCTGAGTTCAGTTCTGCTGGGGATAAGGAGCACTTTACATTTAATAAAGAAACACATAAAGATGCTTGGGATATTATTGTACCAAATTCATTAGTATTACAAGATAATAACCATGATAATGGTAAGTAATAGGCTATTCTCCATATTCTCTTAATGCATTACAATCTCTTCTAATATTTTGAGTGTGCCATTTCTAGCTTATTCAATGCTATAATACTAACACTGCAATATGCAGAAAAAGTACAAAAGCAAACAATTGCAACAATAATAAGAGCTTTAATATATGAGCGATTTAGTCGCTTATTTATCTATATTTAGAAATAAAATATAAATCGATGTATTTCTATAATAAAGACAATAAAATTCCAGTTTCGTTTGTATTTCAAAATAATCTTTGCATACTTTTGCTGCAAACAAATGATGTAGTTTGTTGTTGTTTGTTAATTTTTTTAATCCAAATAAATTCGGTTTAGGCAAACATCCTATTTTGTCTACCAGCAACAAACATCCATTTCAATGTATGAAATGTACAAAACGGTTTTCAAGAAGAGATCATCTTCGCACTCATGAGAAGAATATTCATGGGGAAGACGCAGGTCCTTTTACCTGCGTCATTTGTTCCCAGCTATATAAAAATTCGGAGAGTTTACGAAAACATATCGCTAAATTTCATTACCCTAAAATAATTGAGGGTCAACAAAAAACTGTATAAATAATAATGCATTTACTTTTATCGTTAGTGCAACATGCGCGCTAAACAGCCAAAACAATTCATTTATATTGGGGTTTTCATTTTTTTTTTGTTTTCGTATAAGGTGTTGAATTAATTGAGTTATAGATGTGAGAAGCCAAAGTTTTTGTATTTAAATATAAGATATTAATGATCTTTAATACCTCCCTCTATTGACCCTGTAGCGTATATTGAAGGTAACGGAGTTAATATATTTTATTCTACTTTTATTTTGTTAAGTCAACTGTTTGTTTTTATAAACAAAAAAGAATACGGGACATATCATGTTGTATGTATTTAATTTAATTATGTATTTCGTGCGATTAATTTGAAGACTGGTTTTTCCTAAGATTGTTGCTGTATTTATGGTAATTCTTTTTTATTAGTTACTATTATTATTAAACGAAAGATAGATAACTAAATAACTTGGTTACAAAGTGAAAGTGTCTTCAAAATTATTTTAATTGTGAGTGCTGTTTTAAAACCTATTTTTATAGAAATTAACATTGCAAAATAAAATAACTGTTTATTANTCTAGTTTGCATAAAGTCTGAAATTTATACTTATTATTATTTAATATTAGTTAATACTTTGTTTTAATTTTTTTTATTTATATTTACCCCTCATACTAAAACTTAAAGGAACTAAGGTGTCATTCAAGTATTACGTAACGCAGTTAGGAAGGAAAAGCATCTTATAAAATGAAAGGGGGGGAGGTTAAACAGCATGTTACGTAACTTTAACGATATTTTAATTAACATTTTTAGTGTTACGTAACGATGAGAAAGGAAGGGGGGGAGGTGAAGCAAACTATTACAGAGCGTTATAAGGGGGGAAGCGGTACCAAAGGTCTTTAAAAACTGCATTACGTATTACTTGAACGATCTCTAAGAGATATATTTATTCGAGTGCTATTCCAATTTTTTAGTTAAATAAATTGAAAATTGTATATGTACAGAATATTAGGTAACGGTTTTAATATTAAGTTGTAATATTATGCGTACTGTAGTTTTTTTTAACATGTTTGTACGAAAGTTAACTATTCTGAACAGCTGCTTCTTGACCGCGTTAAAGTTGGTTCATCCGAAGTGAAACTTCTTCTTTTACTCAGCATTTTTTTTAAAATATCGGCGACTCCGGAAGATAATAATGCATTAAGATAACTGTTGCTAGAATAAATAGGCTTTTTAACCATTTGGTGCCGCCGTCGCTGATCGGAACTGAAAGGACAGGATCTTGATTTGTCCGTATCTGCATTGATCTATAAATATGCAGGTTTCATAATTATTATATTAATTCGCAAACATCGAAACTTGTGATAGCTTTTTTTTGTATTTATCACAAAAGAAGAGGAAAGAAACTTATTTAAAAAATTATTTATGTATGTTGACATTAGCACAGATATAGTTATTGTTCGTCTGCCAAGCGGACCGTCCGTTTTATTTAATAATTTTCAAACATTAATGTGGTATCAATTTAATTTCTTCCCACTACAGCAGCAATAAAGATTTCCTCATTAATTCTAGGTAATCTATAGTGGGAAGAAATTAAGTTGATTTCAAATTATTGTTTGATAATTATTAAAATATTAGCGGCTACTAAAAAATTAAAAACTTACTTTTTTTATGTTAGGTACTACGATACTAGTTATTACTATTAATTAAGACGTATGTTTAAGTTATGGAAAAAACAACGATTATTTACATTGTCTCTTGATGACCCTAAAGTTCCATTACTGGCAGCGTCTTCGTTTCGTTTCAAAGCAGTTTGCAATAATTCGGTAACTTTCTGACAACATTGAATAGCTTCGGTTACTTCTTCTCGAGAAAATAAAACCTACTCATAAAATGTGCATAATTAGACCTATATATATGTAGGTACTTACAAATACATGTACCTTATCTTCTAAAAGTTCTTTGGGAAAGATGTTCTTATGAACACTACAATTACTTTTACAATCTAAAGAGCATTCTTCTGGTTTTTCCTCATTACATGTCGTAAAACAACTAAGATGTTTGTTTAATGGATTTGTATATTGAGACCAAAAACTATTCCATTCCCCATCCAAAGATTCCATTGTACCGAACGTGCTTTCCATTATGTCCTGGCTTACATTTTCTAACCAGCTGGCGTAATTTGAGGATGCTGTACTTATTATGGTCGTATCTCGTATGGAATCCGTAGTACTCTTTGCGAAAATTTAAGTAGGTAGTGTTATTATAAGTCATTGATAAATCTCCAGGAATTTTACTTACTGATCTATGTTGAGTATAATCGGTATAGTCCGATGAAGAAGAATCTATAGAACTACACTCCCTACTAGAGCTAGGTACCAAACAACTCGAAAATGACCTTCTCGGTTTGTATTCCGAAATCGAATCTAAACTTCTTCTGTACGTAGCATCTAATGATCTGCGATACCTTTCTCTCCGGGTGCATCCACTAACCTTTTCAGGGCTTTTAAAGCATTCGGGAACGCACTGATTAAGATCTTCGATATTTTTATCGGGTAGAGAGAGCCTTCCGCCTGTTCTTTTCACCGTACCAGTTCTACTGAGTCTATGCGAAGGCGAACATTGGGGACTGAAATCATCTTTGTCTTTTCTGAACATCAGAATGGATTGATTATGTGATCCACTTGACGATTCTGAACTAAAACTTATACTTTCTTCCGACATAGTAGTTTTTTTAAATAAATTTCGTTTGTAATTTGTTAAGACTTCAAACTCTTTCACATCCACTTTTAATTGTTACAGACGACATTACTAATTTCACATTGCGATGTATACTGTCGATAAACTAGGGAAGTGGGCGATTATTATTCGGTTCTCATAATAATTTAACATCTAAGGATCGGTATCCAGGACGATGGGTAATTAAATGTAAATTTACGAACCACTGGGCACATCCTCGGAGGTAACCGATGATTACTTGTTAAAGGATTTAAACGGGATGGAAGGTCAAGGTAAAATTAATCATTAATGAGACCATAAACTTTGAATCAACAATATATAATGCTAAAATGTACAAATTATTTCGCCAAAAGTTCGCCTCGCCTTACTTTCAGGCGTATGTTAATAAATTATCAATTTCATAGTATTTCTTTGGAATCTATAGTAGCGGTCCTATTAATTTATATTCTTTATAAGCTGCATCTTCATACGTTCGGCCGTTGTTTAAATTTATCCCGTACAAACAGTCAAGAAAAAAATTTGTACAACTAACTGCCTATTATTTATGTAATATAAAATTATAAGAATTCCATTATAACAAAAACCCACGAAAGCATTTAGAAAGCCGTTTTATTTTTTTATAAAATAAAATAAAAGGTCATTAATTTTCTAAATATTTATTTTACATTTTGATGTCACATTTAGATCAAATGCATGAGGATATAGAATTGGATTGGAGTAGGTATTATCTACTGGTAACAGATTGAGTTACATGTTGAAGGCACCGCTGAAAGAAGACGGGATAAAAATATGTAATACTAACGACAATAATAATTATTAGAATAATTTTTAAATTAGACATGAATTTTTTTCTAGCGCGAAATAGTTTATTTTCGGTAACAATTAGCATTTCCTTTTAGCTTATGATATTTGTGCTAGCATATTTTAATTTTTTTTTATCTATATTATTTACAAGCATGTAGGTAATGTAGTTGTTTAATATTTTATTCTTAAAAAGAGTCGGTAGGTATGTACTATAATCAATACGTGCATATGTATGTACAGTTAAAAGCAAAAAATTTGTATTAAAGTCCGAAAAAGTTACGGCAGCTTCGCCCGTCGGGTTTTTTAAACATTAATTCAATGATTAAGACTAATTGACTGAAGAGATATTTAGTAATTTTCTCCAGCTTCACTAGAAGAAGCAGCCCCATAACGACATTTGGATAGCACGTACCGCGAAGAACATACTTTATATCCCTATTGGGTAGAAAGATTCGTTTAATACAAAGTGTAGGTTTTCAAATAAATAGGTACTTAAATTACTTTTTATAAATACAGTTTTGAAATTTGAAATTCGAAATCTAAAAATACTATTTTTTTTAATATTCAGGAATTCGATTTGCTATATTTCATGAATTATTATAAATTTGATATCATTAATAATCATAAAATGCATTTATAACTGTTTTGGTTTTAAGTACTTTCTCTGAACACATTGTTCACATACATTGCTTTCTACGGAAAAACTTTTTCTAGCCCTTTCTGTAAATTTATTAATGTCCTTTTGTTCTCTTCCCTTATAAATTTAATTCCGTTTGCAAGTTATGCGCAATCGGAATTGATTGTTTTTTATCTTAATTACATAAGCGGGTGATTATATTTAATCGTTTCTGTAAGCATAAGAAGCCTTATTTGGCTGTGGGCTGTAAAATATCAAAGCTATAAGTTAATTTTCATTTTTCCAAATGGCATTTTTAGACGGCTTGTATAGGTAGCAGTTTAGCTATAGCTCAAAAGCGCAGAAAGTATAGGTACCTATGTACGTTCTAAATAAAGCTTGGAAGTGTAATTTAGTTTACAGTTTTATCGAGTCTGCTAGATTAATTAGATATATATACAAAAAAGAATGAATATTAAAGTAAAAAATTTATCGTAACTTTACAACGTTGCAAGTTAATTATTGACCTATTTTATAGTAGTAATTATGGTACATTTAAACAGCAAGAAACGAAATTTCCTACTTCCATCCCTTTTAAAGCAATCAAAAATAAATACATCATATTTATTACATATTTATATTGAACTCAGTTTCATAGTGTCTTCAAGTAAGCGTATCTATTGAAGTTTTATTTTATTTCGTTTCAAATAGCTCTCTGAATTTTACTGTTTGTTGTCGACGACTGTATGAGAGAGCTCACGGAAATAAAAATCTAAACTAACTTTTTTTTTACATGTAGGTACTTATGTAAAGCTACAAAAATTATTGTATCTACGAGTAGTTATGTTGTATATGTAACAAGTAATTGGTTTTACTAAAATTTCAATCGTAGCTATTCGTTTGTTCATTTCAATTGCCTTTAAAAACCTAAGAAAATTGCTTGCGCGTATAAATTCGATGAGGTACAAACTTGTCATCGATGCCAGTTAATAGTAGTACGTTATTTCTACGCATTTGACTCCTTAAGATCTTGCAGTCTTGCTAACTGATGTGGTTCCAATTCGTCAGGTATACTTGCTCTTCCTCCAACCACCTGTTTCGGTACATCCACTACCCCTTCGACGTCAGCGTAAGAAGCATGACTTACGGAGTTCTCAGCAGTGCTTGGTCCCGTGGTATCGCCATCACTCGTACTACTACTAATGGCTAAAGGGCCTGATTCATATGGTTTTTCTTCAGTTGCGTCCTCAATTTTTACAGATTGTTGTTGTTCCTCCTGGATCTCTATTAATTCCTCATCAGGTTCTTCTACGATTACGTGATTAGTGAAATGTTCTTCTATGGGATCTCTTGGTTCTTTTGATGGCTGTTTATGTGCAAGTTCGCTTTCGTCTTCGTCATCTTCTTTCGGATTTTCTTCAACTAGCGGAAATGAAGTGTCCGCTTCTTCGGTCATTGGGGTTGCTGCTGTTATTACTATTTGGGCTACGCTCAAATTGAAATCTGCCGCCGCTTTTTTCTTTTTGCATTCAGTTTCTGTTGTCGATTCCGCCGTACCGTTTTCCTGTAAGAATCAAGATCAAGATGTTCTATAAAATCAAATCAATCGAATGAAAACGAAAGAACACAAGAAAACGAAATTTATTTGTTAATTAAGTCCATTTACATACAGCACTTTTGAAAAGACATATATGTAGGTACATATTTGGAAAAGTAGTGATAGTTAATTTTAATGTCTTACCTGATCTTCCACTTCAATACCGATAGCTTGTAAACGTGAGTTTTTATCAGAAAAGGTTATTGATTCAATTACTAAGTAGTATTACTTACTCGGTATATTTTTATCTTCTTGAAATTGTGCGCCATACTGTTTTTGTTGACCTTTACTAAGACTTATGGAGAAACCATTGCTGCTACCGCCTGTATTATCGCCAGTTATTGCCGTTTCGATTGCACCATTAACTATTGAAGCTTGACTAATTTGTGGTGTTTGTTCCTTTGACTCCTCTGGTTCCTCCTCGACCGTTGGAGATGCATCAATAACAATTGGTTCAGAAAATGGCATTAGATGTTCTGGTACTTCGGGGGGTGTAAAGACTGGAGGTGCCGAACATGGGGGTGTTTCATCCCATTGGTTGGTTAATGGTTCCCCATTTTCGTCACACTCTTCGACTACTAATGATGGAAAGTTTCCCACTTTACCGTCTAATTCGCCTTTCCACCAACCGTCGTCCACACCATGTGCGCATTTACTAATTACCTGTAAATTGTATTGCCGATTTTTAATAATAATCTACTTGAAGTGATAAATGTTTAACTAAAAACACTCACTTTAATTATTTGCCCTTCTTCCAATGTTAAATCTTCTTCTCCCTCTCCTTCATAGTCATATAAAGCTGCGCAGTATGACACTGTTGGTTCTGGAACGGCTTCGGTCATATGTATAACAGAAATTTGTTCGGGCGATTGATTAGTAGTTTCAGACTGTTGGGCTAATTCGTCGTCATTGTCCACTGTGTAGTCAACGGAAGAAAATGAAATTTGATTTACAAGTCCTGGACTTGTTCCAGAAGGTTCTCTTTCAATATCCAGGTAATTTTGCGGTACGTAACCTTCTTCTCCTCTATAATTTCGTGCCCTCAACCAACCGTCTCCATCCCCTTCACCAACTACTTCCAATTGTTCGTTCTCTACTATGGAAAGTTCGTCAGAATTTTGAGCCTATGGACAAAATTATATTTCCATATTTGTTTTTGCAATGTATGATATCATATGTACATTTCATTTTTAATAGAAGAGAGTACATTTACAGGTAAATGAGCGCAAAAAACTAAAGCAAAGACGACATTCCAATACTTATTAAGTAGGGATACCATTACCATAAAACTTCAACATACAAATTTTGCAAGTCTTTTACATTTTGATGAAGAATGTAGCTCGGTAATTCCTCTGGCTAACTCGGATCATACTTCTCCGGCGTTTTCTTATTATAGATCGAGAGTTGGTGGTCGTTATAAAAAATAATTTTACGAAAATTTCATGACATTTATCGTAAGACCCAGTTCGTTATAAATGATAGACACTGCGGGACTTTGAAATTCCGTGGTTATAATAAACGAAGACTACTTCATATAATACTGTATGTACTTACTGTATATGAATATAGTGCAGTACATTTGAAAGTTGGGCCACTCACAGATGTTGTGTCCCCTGCTGTTCCTTCTACGGGCTCTCGGGACTCTTCGGCTCCCCAATCCACTTGAGTAGGATCGTCCCATCCCACCGTGAGTTGCTCTATTCGTTGACGTTCTTGTTCTAACATTGCTGTAATAATAAAAATGCTGTCTTAAAAATTTGCAATAAAGAAACCAGGTAATCGTATAAATAATTATTGTTGTGGTTGTAATTACGTACCGTCCACTTCCGGTGCTTCATAGGATTCTTGTTGGGTGTCGTCCAAAGATAACGATTTGTCCGGCTTTTCGGAAATTGTTTGCTGAACTTCGCCGTCAGCAAAATCACTATCGTAAAACGAATCGGAACTGGGATGATCCTATAACAAAGTTATGTTTCTGGTGTACCAAATGAGGGACCTATGTACGTTATATGTATATAGTGTGTAATTTCATTTACCGATAGAGAACTAGCGGAACGCTGAATGTCTTGGACCGTTAACGTTTCAGCTTCTTTCAGCCATTCGTCAACATTCACGCCACCTTTTCTAAGGACCTCGATCCGTGCCTCCGCCTTTACCTTTGCTGTTTCTGCTCTTCGAATATTTTGTTTCATCTCTTCGATTTTAGTCTCCAAGTCGGGACTGTTTGGATCGTTGGGATCGGTCTATACGCCAAATAAACAATAAATAAATAAATTATTATCAATAATAACAATTAATTGTAAACCTTTTGCCCCGATTCTCTCAGAGAATTGTATATTTGCAACTTCCTGACTGAGTCTTTAATGTTATTACTTTCGCGTGCTATTTTCGTTGCCCATCGGCGGGCTTCCTTGCTTAGTTGTGCCGCTGCGGACTCATGTTCGGCCGTGATATGATCCACAGGATCACCTTCGCACGGTTCGAATTCGTACTGGATGTGCTGTTTGAGAACGGGATAAAACAAATAGACACATTGTAAATTATACTCTCGAGTCAACTGTTTCGATTGATTGAGCACCGTACTAAATGAATTTTGCATAGCAGAACATGTCAACAATTCGGTACGTCCCAACAGCGATAAATATTCTGCTACTTTGTCGAACACGTTGCTTTCCATCGACTGCATGGTTAACTGAAGGTCCACCACGAAATATCTGAGAAAGATGTTTGACATTTTTAAGTTTCGTAAAAAAATTAAAAAACAAAATATCGTATTTACCTATTTTGATGAGCGTTTGCAGCAGCAAGACACAAAATATAGTCATTACGAGCACCGCTTGATTTTTCCTCGAGCTGTTCCCTTTTTGATGTTACTTTAGCGCTATTTTTTTGGAGCGACGTGATGGACTGAAAAAAAGAACCTTTCTTCTTTTTTAATCTACAAAGGAAAATAATAATCATAACGATATTTTTTCTTAAACATGTCCAAAAAATGTTCTGGGTAGTTACTTTTCTTCTATATCCCTTGCTTTGTCCCGTACATCGTGGGCGGTGTGCTCTTCGTCGAAGTATAATTTTTTGGTTTTATCTAAATCTTGAACGCAAGCCTGCAACTCTTTCTGGACCGTTGCAATTTGTTCAGCGTACTAAAATAAATTTTAAATTCATCGAAGAAATCTAGAGAGATAGACAATTTAAATTTAAATTGTTAATATTCATAATACCTACCTTTCTCGCAGTTTGAATTTTGTGCATTCGAAGATTTTTCGCTTCATCCGCGATCTGCTGTTGAAAAATTTCTATAGCAGCCAATCGCGCTCTTGCCAGTTTTTCGTGTTCCTCTAGAACAGTCCTCCAGACACTCCACATATTCCTAAAGAGTTAAAATCTTTTTCTTCTGATTCATTTTTGAAAATTTTGTTTGCGGATTGTACCAATAACATAAAATTAAAGAACAAGACGCTTTCGAATGTTTTTTTATAGCTATGTACCTATATTATATAACAAATTTTTCTTCGTGCAAAAACTAAAAAACATTAACTTTAATTACTACTCGTTGTAACACCTACTTTAAATAAAATTAACGAAAAATTTAGCTTTGCCTTGACTTTTTTTGGAGTTTGTCGCTATTATACGATCTTTTGTTTTTTACTTTAAGATTTAAATGCACTAAATAACACGTTCGATTTGTTCTATTTGGTATATCACGTTAATAGATACTATTGACTGTTATTCATTTTAATTGTACATATATTGTAATAATCATTTAAATTATCTTCCGTTAAAGCGTCCCATTGAAAAAAATAATACATCTAATTCTCACCATTTTTCTTCGCTTCCTTCGACTTTTATGTCCGGTATATTTGGAATTTTCTTGTTCAAATACGCCGATGAAATTTTGAGCAGCGCCTAAAACAGATATTATACGGTACCTATATCGTCTACAGGTCTATAACATTAATTTAGTTTCGAACTTACTTCCGAGTACGATCTCTCAATCGCTGATTTTTTTATCACAAATGTTCTTATATCTTCTAATAAATCGCATTCATGTTGATTCTTTGCTAATAATTTCGTTATTTGTTCTGAGTGCAAAGTTTTTAGGAATTTTGCGTAATTTCCCTGCAACAAGTCGTAAATAATAATATATTGTTCATCCATCGTCAGCATTTTTTTATTATACATCGCAATTGATTAAATTAAAAACAGTTTAATTACGGTATTAATGTTGCATATTACTGTTAATTTCTTCGTTAATTTAAAATTCACTCTCGCCATTCCAAGACAGTGGTAACATTTAACAAAAGTAGAAAAGAACATTATTGGTGTATTTTTTTTCAATATCGGTTTAAAAGTTGACAAAGATTTATTATGCAATCAGTTTTATAAGGTCATGGCATGGGTATTATATAATAAGGTCATTATAGTACAATATTCATTGCTCTTTTTTCTGTGCTTAAGCAAAACCAAAAATGGTTTTTATACGTGTGCAGGGGATACGTTAATAAGTTGTAGAAATACGTATTTCTACATACGTTGTACGGTATGTACCTACAAATAATCTTTTTGTTATAAATTAATGTCAGCATGGAGTTGATCTTTCATGATTATCTTAACTCAAGTAAATTCGAGGGCTTTCTAATTTTTGTAATGTTAACAGTGAAACGTGTAATAATTGAATATATTTTATTTAAACATTATCCACATGTTTCTTCTTATTCGTGACACAGTTAGTTATGTCAGAAATATGTAAAAATAAGTGAAGATAATGAAACTAGAAGAATTTAGGTTAATTTAATTTAATTAACGTAGGAGTTGATTCGCACCTTTCTCGGAGGTGGCTGCATATTAAAATGAACAATTGGTGATAGTAAATACCACCACCATCAGCGGCACTCGCATTCACTATCACCACGATACAATACACCGCGATCGTCGTCCGAAAAGCACTAACGGAATCCAAATCCTCTCTTATCGATTACGACGCCCACCGACGCCGACGACTGCGTAAACGCGCATTATGATGGACGCCGAACGTCGCCTCTACCACCGACATACTGATATTGAACGTTAAACAGGCAAACAGTATTAAACACGCTTGATGGCCTTCTAATCAGGCCACTTTACTTCCATTGCAAAACAATGACAAAACACCCGAGTTTCGAGTTAGAATTATAAGGTTCGAACTGCACAAGATGAGTATGACCAAGAGTACAAATTTAATCAATAGGAATGGTCGTTTATTCTTACCTACCTCCTTTATTTTCCCCAACTTCACTCTTTTCTCAGCAACACCATTGAAAGTAAAATTCAAAGCGTCCATATTATATCTACTATTATCTACTCATACAACCTACATGAAATTAATTCACTACCGTCATTACATCGTAGGTACCTATATTTTTACGATACTGCATACTAAATTCATCAAAAAGTAATTAATAATCAATATAGTTGCGAATATATTGAATGGTTGTGAACTACTACTGTCAAGATACATATGTAGGCACATTGTACCGTGTTTATTGGATTAATTGTAAGAAAAAAATTACATTGAAAACTTATCGCAAACCGAACAGATAATCGAAAATTGCAAATATGTATTTCTTATCTGTTTTTACGGATAATAAATCAAATTGATTGTTTCCGGTAAATTATTGTATTTAATAAAACTTGCAAAACTTCCTAATACGCCGCGGCGTATCAGAATAAAGTTCGTTCGGGATTTGAATTTAGTTAGCACTTACGTTGTTATTACTGAAATGTCGTCGATATACCGGAAACATTTTTTTTAAGCCACACTTATCGTAAAACGTAAAATAACAAAAAAATATGTTTTAAATGTGATCACTTGTCAATGTCAATTTTGCATCAAGGCTACATGGTGATATCTGAGAAGGGCGGACTGATTTCGTTTATTATTATCAAAAAAAAATAATACTACGATCAAACATTAAAAATTAAAAATAATAATTAAATTAACTCAGATTTCAGATGTCTCACTTTGCAAGTTTCACTCATCGTCAATGATTTTACCAGAAAAAACCCCTGTACTTGATATGATGCACTTTTTCGATGCTTTTGAGTTTTTTGTACATGTAGACACACGTACCTTTCATTTGTCGCTACTCACAACAATATACACTGGTGGTTATTGAGAACCAAATACATGCAATCGTTCATCAAAGGGCAGCATCGTCTGTTGAAAAATACGGCGTGGTAGGTATCTACCTACGTACGAATGCATACCTACAGTCAGTCATCTTTTCACATACGTAATTAATATAAATACAATTTAATGTCTTTGAGGGTGTTATTAGGCTTTGTGTAAAAGATTTTTAAGAGTTCGGTTAGTTTAGGACACCTTTTAGAGAAAAAGGTAATATTTTCAGATAGACAAGGTTGAAAAAAACATATTCTACGCTCGTGCGACACGAAATGATATGTCCGGTGACCGTTTCGCCTTACCTGTGTAGGTACACGGTACTAGTGAAATGTTCCCTGCAAGAACAAGAACAACCATTTCGTGCAAAAATATTACGAGAAGTGCATGTACTTTATGGCGCGCACTCTTTTTCAACAAACGTGGAACTTTAATTTGTATCTGTTGCAAATAACATTTATTGCGAGACATGACAAACCATTTTACTTCACCATCACCATAAAAATAATGACAAGACATTACCATTAACACCACTTACCGCTTACAAAACCAAATACAATTATTGTTAGTTTTTAAATATTTATTGATGTGCTTTAGTTGCGTGTATGATTACTTGATTTTTTTTATTACAAACCAGTTCCCATAACAAAATACTAGTGTGTATAATAAAATATAAATTGTATTACATTTCAGTAGCCCCACTCATTTCCATTTTACAAAGTTTATATATTTTTATTTAATTAAAAAAAAAAAAACGAACATCTAGTTGAATGTCACTCAGCGATACACTAACATACATATGTAAATATGTATTGCAGTCAGCAAAATTCCTACTCCCAATTTATCCTCGGATTATTATCAATATTGGCCGCAGTCGCAGGCGTCTATGCCACCATCGCCACCCATCGGCGCCACTCCACCGTCCGGGTACACAGTCGAATATGTATTTTTTAAGAAATTTACGTGCGCTTGCAAATTCTTGATACGCATTTGGGCATCTTCAAAGTTCTCGTTCAAATTCGTTATTTGCGCCTGCATCTTTTGCCTTATTTCGTCCCTGTCCTTCTGCGCTTGTCGCGCCTGAGCCCGGCTCTGCGCCAGCTGACGCTCCAAATCTGCTATCTGATTTTGCATCGACCTTCTCACCGTTTCGCATCTATCAATTAAATTAAATTCAATCAATGTTTGTTATACATACTTACTACTGTTACGATTGGCGGTAATAACTATTATTGTATCAACGAATACTTTAATACAGTCAATGTCTTTTTTTTGTTGAACAAGGACGAAAACGATCTTGAAGACGTAATTAACAGTTAATAAGGGAAATATAATTTACGGGAGGCATGGAACTAATTGCAGAAAATTTCATATGCTCTATACAAATTATCGTATCAATTTTTCTCCTATCTAGACTAGTTTTCCGAAGGAATGAGAAAAACGACCAATGCATGTGATTTTGTTTGTTTCTATGCTATCACGCTTAAATGTTGAAACTGATTTTGCAATAAGTTAAGCTACATACATAAGCATTCTATCAATCTTGAGTACGATTCGTATGTTTAAGTTCTGAAAGTGTACCTACTTCACGAAATTTCACCCCCTTAATGTCAGCCTATCATCATTTACCCTTCCACGGAGCACCATGGTTCCGTGGAACACCTTTTAGGGATCGTTGCCATAGTGAAAATCAAACCAATTAAACTTGTTTTAATAAGACATAATATGTGCAATGTTTGGAAGTATTCCATCATTAAATTGTGGCTATATCTTTTCAAGAATTGTGTGTATCGAGAAACTATGTATGTTCAAAAACAATTATCTAAGTTCTTTGCAAAAAAAAAATTATTTGTTTTTTGTTATCGCATACCTGTCTTTCGTCCGTGCTACTTGTCTTGCTGATTCTTCTCTAACCGAATCCAACTGGGCGACGAGCTGAGTTATTTCGTGTAATTTTTCTTGCACTCGTTTCTCCGCCTGGTCGTAAGCTTCCTCAAGTCGTACCATGTCCATTTTGATCTTGTCGTTTTCCTCTTCGAGTTCCTGAACTTTGGTGGTTAGATCGCGAATTTTCTGCTCGAGTACCGCCTGTTCGTCAGCTCCAAGTTGTTGATCGCTACGGACTTTCTCCATATCTGCAGCCATGGCCGCTGCCTAAAATTTTATAAAGCAACATGAAAAACTATGACAATTATACTATATTAACAGGTGTGATTCTTACTCTATCTTTATATTGTTGTAATTCCCGCGAAATGGCCTCGTTGTTTCTTTCAGCAAGAAGATGCATCTGTTGAGCTTCTTGCAACTTAATCTGCGTAGCTTTGAGAATGTCCGGTAGAGGTGTTAACTCCTGCAGTTTTTCCTGAAATTGATTCTTTACCCTTTGGATTTCGAGATTTACTTGCTCGGTTATTCGGTTGTTCTCGATTTCCATCAAATCTATTTGTCGTCGTTGTTCTTCTACAGTTTGCTGCGCTTGTAAATACTGAAAGAATTTTGTTCAATAGCCATATATATATANTCACTTACATGCATGCACAGCCATATATATATATATATATATATATAAGCGGATATCGATACAGAACTAATTAGTGTTCGCACGTTAGCGGAATTGTTAACCCTTACCAGATGTATTTGCATGGAAACTGCTATAATAAAAATCGACAAAAAACTGAATGATTTTCAACTTTGTAATAAATATAAAAAGTATAAGTTGTTTGTGTTGTCAAGATAATTGCATCTTTTTTCGTTAGTTAAACGATATAAATAAGAGCTGGTTAATGTCAATATTAACCAACTCGGAGTTGCACTGCGTTTTTAACTAACCAACCGTCATTCGTTCAAACATTAACGAAGAATATTCTTTATTGTTTACCTTATTTCGATAATCGTCCATTTGGGTCTGCTGGTCCTGTATCAGTGCCCTGAGTTCCTCCAGTTCGTCCTGCGCGTCCCTAAACCTTTGTTTCGCCACATTTAATTGTGCTTCCATTTCGACCATTTGTTGCTTCATACTTTCGCTCTGTAAAAGTTGGGCCAATGTCAAGGCAAAAATTAAAAAGAAAATACCTACCTTCTCCAATTCCATCTTCAGAACTCGAACCTCTCTCTCTAGGTCCTTCATCTTTTGTTCGTAGGCTTTCTTAAACTCGTCAATGTCACCGCCACTCCTCTTCATCTTTTCGTTTTCCGCCCGTAAACTGGCCACTTCCGTTAGTTTCCCTTTAAAGTCATCCTGAAGTCTGCAATACTGTTCCTTCAATTGACTTAGTTGTTGCTCTATTGTTCCACACTAAAAATAAATGCCACACATTTATAGAAACCGCAGGTGATGTTTTTTGCAAGTTTTGTCTTACCGGAGCTCTAGGTTGTGGTCCACAAGGAGGCGGACAAGGTGGTGGGCACTGAAACGTGTGTTAAAACGATTAAAAACAATTTTAATTTTCATCAACGTTTACCAACAGGTTTGCACGGCGGTGTGCATATCATACGGCGATGGTGCTCCAAGTGTTGTCGTTCTTTTTGCACTTCCACTAGTTCGCACTGCATGTGTCTCACTTCGCTTTCCATGTCGTTCAATTGTTTTTCCTACAGGAAAAATTATTACGTTATTGGAGTTTATTGAGTAATTGTTATAGTTATTCACGAGAGCATGCGTTGTTTCGACATATTCCTGAAGTCGGCTCTCCATCTCCGCAGGACAAGGACCCTTTCCTTTTCCGCAAGGCATCCTTTTTGCTCCTCTGCCGGTTCCACAAGGTGACGCTTCTTTGGGTTCTTCTTGCTGAAATTTTTGAATATTCTCATTGTCAAAGGTTGAATTTGTATTGAGAAAAAGAGTTTGCTTTTCCGTGTTGTAGAACTATGTAGGTACGTGTACCCCGGCGGTGTAGGAAACCGCGTGACGAAAACAGGGTCCGAAATAACCATCTCAAAATAAAACGGCGATAGAAAGCTTAACTGTTGCAACTGTAAAATCAATCACTATCCTTCACGTTTAATAAACCTTTACTTAAATAAGGTAGCACGTTAATCACAAAAAAAAAAAAACAAAACCCTTAGTGCTAACTCACGGAAAATCACATGCACTGCCCTTCCGCTTCTCCTCGACAAACTCAGCTGGATGGAGTAAATTTTGATATTTTTGTAAAGCGTGAAATTTTGTAGCAAAAATCTTAGGAGAGTATGTTATGTATTTAAAATTAACCATTTAAATAATAAACAATTATACATAACGAAGAAAGTATACTCACAAACAAAACTCTGAAAAAATCAACGCCTCATATAGACCGGTAAATGTACCTAATGAAAACTTGACCGTTCTGGCCTCTGTTTTCGTCATTGTTGAGACCAAATAAGAAAAATGAGAATGGCGAACAGATAAACCTGTATTTATGAAAAAATGATAGGGGACGTAATTCCATAGTTCTTTGTTTAGATGTGTTGATTTACCGCTTCTCTCCCTTTAAGTCTCTGATTGAGCGCGTTGTTCTCTTTGCAGACAAGTTTTAATTCCTGCTCGAGACTACACAGCTTCCTCTGCAGGTTCTCAACGAATTGATCTCTAGATAACAAATCTTCTTGCAATTGATATCTACCACACAAACAAGTAAGGAATTGTTTGAAACAATTAACAAGATCGAAACTGGTCGGTTAGTTTAATAATGAAAAAATTAAACGAATTTTATGAAAATGACAAAACCACAGACAATTTTGACATTGCTAGGTGTTTAGAAACATTCTCAAAAAAAAACACCGACTTGATCTTTTCATACTGCAACCGGAATCTTTTATTGTTTCGTCGTTGCTTCATTTTTGTTTTTTACTTTTTAACGAAAAAATATTGCGCGCAACTGTATTAAAATTATTACATACATATAATAAAAATTATTTTCTGACTTACGTTGATCATCAGCCTTGCTCTCTACGTATTGACCTATGTGTATTTACGTACCTTGTACCTTCCAATTGTGCATTTTCGGCAGCTAACTTCTCTTGCATGGTATACGATTCACTTAATCTTTTCGCAAATTTCGGAACGACGCCACACTTTAAAACAACAAGGTTTCATTTACCTAATATTATCGATAAAATAATCATTTCTAAATAGTATACCACATACATATTTTTATATTATCGATTTACATTATAACTTTTTGAGCTGTGAAATGTTAAATTAGGATCGTACCGTCATTCCTAGACGTTTCGTCAGAAAAATGCAAAACATGCCTATTACCGAAAAATCAAAGAACATGTACGGAAAGATTAAAGAATAAATGCCGCAAGCTTCAAACAGAACTTACCGGCGATGATGGTGCATCCGCCGAACAAGGAGGCTTCGACCTTCTTTTTTTATCTTTATCGTCGCAAACTATAATTTTTGGCATATTGTTTTCGGTAAGGCCACAAATGACCACTTTCGGTAACATATCCTCCGGTCGCTTGTGTTGCGTGCTGGGTTTTAGCGGCGTCATTTTTTCAAAAAGATTCGTTTGGGCAATGAGTTGTTGAATCCTTTTGGTTTTCTCCTCGAAAAGTTGCATTTGTTCTTTAAGCAAACAGTTCTTTTCTTCCAATTCCTTACCTGATGGGAACCAATTTTAATTCACCTTTAAGTATGGGGTGACGAGGTGAGATTCGATCACGGGTTTTCCGGAAATTTAATTATGCAAAGTAAAAGTGCAAAACTTATTTAGTTGTGCCTTTTCGCCTGAATTTTGCCTTCAAAATACAGTGGCAATGATCATTTTTGTTCAGAATTAAATATAGTTTTTTTCTGAAATCACCCAGTGCCACCCGATAATGTGCGAGTAGTTGGTTGAACGTGAATTCTTTTTCTTATGTATTTCCAACAGACAAAGTGTCTGTAAGAATTCCCGGAAACCATCCCAACCAAAATTCTAAGATGTTTTGGAGTGACGTGTACTTGTCGATGGGCGATATTGCGGTGAATTAAGTTTAATAAATTTACGGCAAATTTAAATCTTTCTTTTAATTTAAGAGAAGCGGCTGGCGCGTGCTAATACCTGCCAATCGCTTTGGTCGGAAAATAGACGTGACTATGTGACATAAAAATCTCGAATATTTTTTTTCTGTTTAAGATAGGACGGATATTTTTGACTAGTAACTGTACGAACCACAGCAAGTGAGAGAGATTTAGATGTTAATGCTACATGAGTAACAAACCTTCGGCCTCGGTCATTTTCGTTTTACATAATAGTTCACCGACCCTCTGTTTCAGTTCGTAAATGATCTTAGCAGTTTCCATAGCTTGTCTTTCGGCATCCTCTAATTCGGCAAGAACGGCCGCATCTATTGTAGGATCGTACTGAAAAAATGAACCGCCTCCCCCTCCGGCACCAGCACACGGAAAACCTGCAGCTTGTGCTCCTTCTGTCCCCTTTTTCGTGTCGCATAAATTACTCACATTCTCATCCAGTGCCCCCTTTAGATCTGGATTTTCGTCCATCACTTGGTCCAATTCCTGGTCCGCCTGCTTGACCAAGTTTTCGATCTCTTGCAGATCATCGTCCGCTATCGTTTCTGTTTGTAGATCATCGGTTACCGTGTCCTTAAAAAAAAAGAAAACTGTTTGGCACGACTTTCAATGTTCATGACTGTTTCCTATCTTTTGGAAGAGTACTATGGCGAAAGGTTGACTATAATAAGCCCTTCTTCCCAGATCTCGAACTGTTCTGCCGTAGTCCATGGAATTTTGCATTTTCATGTGTTTCGTCGTTCTTCGCTAACGGCATCTTCAGTGGTGACTTGACTGATATCAGTAACCACTGAGGATGCCATCAGTGAATCATCTGGAGAAACAAAATTTCGTTGGCCACGTCCGAAATCCGAGAAATAGTTTTGTAAGATCAATTTTGTCATCTACCTCGATACCAATTTCTTCCACTGTCGTATCTTCAGCCATTCCTAATTCCTGTTTTTCTTCTGTTTCACTGTGATCGTAGTATTTTGCTGTAATTGATTCGTTTGGAAATTCTCCTTCTTCTTCTTCTTTTTCTTCTTGTAATTCTTCTACTTGTTTTACTTCAATAACTTTTGCTGCTTCTTGTTCGTTTCGGTAAAGCTCTTCCTCTAGGCTTAATTGTTCTCGTTCCAAGACTCCTTCGCTACTGGGAGAAAAAAACAAATCTAGATCCTCGTCCTGAAAATCTGCTTCTTCTTTTGTCTTTTCTGACTTTTCAACGTCGTTCTCTTCCGCTTCAGTTCTTACTGCTATTACGTCTTCTTCGCCGCTGTCGAATTTAATTTCTTCTTCAACTGTTTCTTCTCTTGCCCTGTGCTCTTCTTCTCTACCGATATCGAATGATACTACTTCGCCCTCAAACGGTTGTTCCAACGAATATTTCTGTCGTATTAGTCCTTTCTTACTACGGTTTGTGACCAATTCCGGCAGACTTCCCCTAAATAACAAAGGCGATTTTTTTCCTTTGGCGTGGCGTAGTTTTAATTTGTCGTCAGATCTTCTATCTCCCGCTCCTTTATGTGAATATACTGACGCAGATTTCGCAACTGAACTTACTGAATAAGTTGCAGTTTTTGCGGAATGACAAACTCGCCTCTCCTGAAAAATAGACACATGGATTTTATATCCGGATAGGTAATGATCTGATGTAAATTACAAGCTGAGATAAAAAAAGAATATATTATACAGTGGGGGAAAACGAATTTTGAAGATGTGAAATTCGCTTGCTTTAGATTTTATAGTCAAAACAATTATTGATAAAACAGATCGATTAGTTTCGTTACCGATTTAATAGATTCAATAGATCGAACGCTGTTTAACGTGATCCACCTCGGAGTCCTCGCAAACTTTAGATCGTCCCAATTTCTCAATGTCTTCCTGAAGTAGCTATCAGCGTCGTCTCCGTGGTTAAAGGTTGGTGCTTTTAAGAAAGGTTGACAACTTTTTATAATTTCAGCAGTTCGCTCCGCAAACGCCGTGCTGGACGGTCCCTTTTTGCGCTTTTGCCTTAATTCACTTTGCGTTTTAATCTCAAAATCAGAGTCCTTTAGTAGTGACACTGGTTTACTATTCCGTTTCACCTACAACAAGTTTGTTTTAATTTCTATTTTCAAACTATCACTGTTTTTCGCTGTTGCATGTTTTAACGCGCGCGCGCGCGCGCTCGCTCGTGCCTTCTTCTTACCGGATTTTGAGAAAGTTTCATTGCATTATTTATACCATGCGAAAGGAAATTTTATTCCGTAAAGGTTGATACCATTTCACTAAAAGTAAAAAGTAAATCAAAATAATGTAAAGTGTTCAAAAAATAACAGAAGTCACTACCAAAAATATTGATTTATTATTTCCGATGCGAAAAAGTTTTCATATATGCCATTGTCTTGCACACTTTATATTTATACATTCTAGTAACAATTTTTTTTACAAAACAAGTTAAATTTTTTATATTGTGTGAGATTCTAATATGGCTTTTTATTTCGCGCGTTTTTTATATGTTGTTATATATTAACATTTTAAGATCGGTTATTATTATCAACATTGATTAATTCATATTTTCTAATAGTTGATACACGCATAAATTGAATACGAAAAAGCAAATTATGCACTATTAAATAAAACTAGAATAAAATAGCAACTTAATTATTTAAATTTAAAATTACAAAATACCGCGCGAATTGTCTACTGTTGTATATTCAATATAACCAACTTAACTCCAATAATCCCCCATTGAAGAAGAAAAAGATCCCTGACTAATATTTGACAGGAGGGTTAATACCATAAATATATAATAATTTTCTGTCATTTAATAATATGTGAATATAAACGATGTGAACGATGTCTATGATCAGTTAAGTTGAATCAGATGAAAAAAACTATTTTTAAGGTAAGAAATTATTGAAATTTCCATTTATTTTCACATTTGTATATTACAAAATAGGTTACATCAGATTGTGTCCTGGTAGGATATCAGTTCATGGTTAGTGCATTGTATTTAATTTCGTCAGACAATTTTTCGTTACTTTAACACACAATAAATAATCTTATTCCAGAAAAAACATGTACCTGAAATGAATGTTATAAGGACTGAAATGGTCTCGAGAGGCAGAAAAAAAAACGTCACCTATTTTTGTATATGACATACCTACTTGACTTCAATTTTGCTGCTAAGTACAAGTCCTTTCTAATATGAAAATGGCTGAGTGGTTTATGCAATTAGATTCAAATGATCCCCAAATGGTAGAAGAAGTAAAACAAAAATTTCATGAACAATTTAATATAGGTAGGTAGTCCATATAAATGTGCCATTCAAAAATAAAAGGTTGTTTCAGTGCAAGACTCCTGGTTATTAAATGGATTATACGACTATTATTTAAATTCAAATTCAGCACGCAGTATGGAAATTCTTGTAAATGTTAAAGAACCTCATCATAATTATTTATTTGCCAAGTAAGTGCTACATGTACAATATCAATACATCAATGTAGATAATATTCATTTTATTATTAGAATATCAGATTCTATTCGAGGCTCAAAAACCGACACTAAGGTACAAGCTTTAACATTATTGGGACATGTTTTAAGGAAACAGCCACCATGGTTATTTAAAATCACTGAGCATCAACTTTTAAGAGACCTCTTAAAATTGCTTAAGGTAAGTAAATTCTTCTCGTAAAAGTCTTCAGTTACTTTATCCAATTTTTAAATTTGCTTTCAGACTGAAACAGATATTGTTTTACTATTAAGTGCTTTATTAGTGCTCATAGTTCTTCTACCTATTGTTCCAGCCCTTATGGGTCAATATCTACAAGATGTTTTCGAAATATTTAGGTATGTCTGTATGTTGTGTTTGTGCTGCATGTATGAAATTTTCTATTCGATTAAATGTATTTGTATTATAAGCCGATTAGCAGCCTGGAACAATATTAGTCCTATAAAATTGGTGGAAGATCAGTTGGTACACATGCAGGTGGCCCATTATGCACTTTTTCAAAGGCTGTATGGAATGTATCCCTGTAATTTTCTAGCATATTTACGAAATCAGTACAGGAACAAAGACCAAATTCCTATTTTTATGCATACAATCAAGGTAGAATGATTTACCTAACAGTAAATAAAATGTATATTTTTTAATAACTAACATTAATATATTTCAGCCAATGCTAGATACAGTTAAAATGCACCCATGTCTAGTAACTGCCTCAAAAGATAAGGAAACAACAACAGACAGGTTACTTCAATCACACATCCTCTATCCTCTCATGTTATGTATATATTTTTTTAATGTTCTAGATGGAAATGTATGGAAGCCCACGACGTTATAGTGGAGTGCGAACGGTTATCTTTAGACGTTTCCGATAGATGTTCTCAAGATTCATGTTACTCAGCAACCACATACAGATCCAGATCAGGCACAATAAATTCAGGCTCAGGGGGATATGGTAGGTGTCTCCAGTTTGAATATAGCTAACTTAAGATAACGAAAAAATTACATTCAATCTAATTTATTTAAATTTCGCATCCTATAGAGACAAACCAGTTGCTTGTACATAGGTTTCGTCAAATTCTCTGTTTTAGACAGTGCGTTCCAATTTTCGTTAAAAAATACTCCAATAGCAAGTCTTATAAATGAACAGAAAGATTTCTTCAGTCCAAGTTTAGTTTTTCAACCGCAGACACCCCCCCTTCCAGACTCTACATCCGGAAACGTTTCACTTAATCAGGTATTTTTCTACATTATAGTATTTGTTATAGACAAATCGTATACATACTTTTTATCATAATTATCATTTAAGAAACAATGCATCGTAATGTCGTTAGAATAATACATACATATATTTGGTTTTTTCGTCTCGCTTATTTATATGCTTTTTTGTTATGGAATTCTCTTTTTATTTGTATATTAAATATATAGGCAAATTAAAAGTGCTTGCTAAATACCATTTTGTTTTTCGTGAACAACAAATTTGAAATAATTATTTAGTAAAATTACTGTCTTGTACTTTGAAACTGAAAAAATAAACACTACTATTGAGTACAATTTATTGGTAGTAATGGGTTAAAACGACGTCGTATGTATTTTAATGTAAGGGCTAACGTTTTGCATGGCTTAATAGGGTGCGGGGCAAAGCTTGGTCGTGAGTATTGGGCCTTCTAAAGAGGGATCATCACCGCCAGAAGCAGCCATAGAGGCGACTCCAGAAACTACGCCTATCAAGGTATTCTAAATTTTAGGCGGGTACTCTGTTAATATCTATCCTATATCTTATCATGCTTGACAAACAGAATGAAATTACAAATTTAACGACATCATATTAACCTACTTATAAACAGTTGTGTAATTCATAATACAACTTTTAATGTGTTAAAAATGAAGCAAAACTCTTATTATTTATTTTAAGGACGTTAGGATGCGCCACACAGCATCTCTGCCGCAAAATTCAAACGTTGTACGTGCTTTAAATTCCTTCGGCACCAAGACCAGATCAATGGGATCATCGAGCACTACTCCCAGTCATTCGCAACCTTCGTCGCCTATGAGAAAGGAAACATCCCCGTTCAACTTTGACGGTCGTCACTCGGCATTCGGACACCCAAAAAAGGACCACGCTGTGATGAAGGTGCAGAAGCTTATGCACGAACGAAACGTGGGCATGGTATTATAAATTCAATTAGATTTTAATGCAAATCTTGAGAGGGTTGTTTTAATTTTGTAATAGATTGATAGCACCTTGGAATCGGCTGTAGCACGAAAAACACCCACGAGTCCTCTAAGGTTTATTCCTTCAGTAAGTGACAATAACTTTTTCAGTAACGTCAACCAAAGAATCGAGTCACCCATTAGCGTAGAAGATGAAGAAGTTCTGGAAATTGTTCAGCAGGGAAAAATGGAAAATTTTCCTGGGCTGAGACAATGCGACAGCGTTTTACAAGAAGTTGAAGGCTGTAAAAGTAAATTCAACATTCTATTATTTATGACTAGATAGGTCCGCCCTGTGCAAATAATTTTTTAAAAAAAAAAAAAAGAAATTCGTGTTGCGTAGCGCAAGTTGATCGAGCTTCGCTCGGATAGTCTGTGCAACTGGCGTATAATAGTATATAATGTACATATCTACATTACTTTTATTTTTTTATTACTTATTTTGTCAAAGTTGAAGTTTTACAAATTTAACTTATAATTTTAAGTAGGGCAATACTTAAAACTGAAAAAAAAAAGAATATATGTACCTGAACTTATATTAACGAGATATTTAATAAAAGATAAAGGTGATGGTGATTATTATCAAACGCAACAATTAATTTTTTTCAGTAAATGAAGAAGACTTGGAAGAGCAGGAACATGGATCTCCGTGCACGGAAGGGGGGTTACATATGGCCGATTCTCGATCCATGAACATACTCATTAAACGTTTGCGTTATCACAGCCAGTGCGGCCCGGACAGGGATCTCCCGGAAATATCGACCGAAAGTAGCCCCGGAAAATGTAAATATCGTAAACGATAATTGAAAATGCATATTATTTAACCATTAATTCTAACACTAGTTAATGCTTCATACCCGAACAATGCAGTAGTGCGTCGAGCAAATTCCTGTCCAGAAATGAAAAAAAGCCAATCTGTTCCTACGAAAGAGAGTATAAGTAAAACACTATTGGAAGCAGACGAAGAGGGTAATAAATAATATAGAACGAAGTGTAAATTTATACTTCATGTTAAGTTACAGTAGCTGGAAAAGATAATCAGAATGATGCAGTTTCCCTTACTAATGGATTATGCCTAAAAGAAGAAAAGCGCCAATTGGCGATAGCCGAGACTCAGACGGAAAATTTTTGGCCTATGCCATACGAACACTTGTTTCTTGGCATTTTCCCTTTACTCGAAGGCAACGCTGATGTTAAAATCAGCCCCACACCCAGTCCCGCACCTTACAATGTACAACAAGATAAGTCTTCGACTGCATCTCCTTATGAGATTTTAGATAGGTATAAGTAAAAATACTCTCTGTCTGTTTAATTAATTATTCGTTTGAACGGTGGTTGCCTTAATTAATCGATTTGTAGGTATTTAGAAGTAGCTATTAATAGTAACAGTAACGACAGAGACGTCGTTCGTCACCTTAGGGAGCAGCTGCAGTTACTACATCAACAATTGCTCTTTGAAAGGCATCGACGCGAAACACACGCGCTCAGGAATAGACGTCTTTTGGCCGATTCGAGGTCAATTAGGGCATTAGAAGAACATAATTCTGCCCTTGTAATAAGTTCCAATATTTTTATCTTCTTGCTTTCTATCTAGTGCTGTGTACTTTTCAGAGAGACCAAATACAACTGCAACAAAAGGAGATAGACAGTCTCAGGGAAGAACTAAACGATCGTATGAAAGTAGGTTACGTAAATGCCAATCTTACGAGCGAGGCCGCCGATTTTTTAACATGTCAGGTGAGGTGATAAATTATTCTTTTATTAACTTCTAATCACAAGAATAGAGCAAACGGTTGTTCTGAATTTTCAGTGTGCCACCTTACGCAGTGAACTAAAAACATTAACGAAACAAAACGACAAACTGGAATGGGAACTAGAGAAAATCAAAACAAAATGCGTGGATTTGAACTTGAAATGGCAACAAGCTGAAGAGGCCGTTTTCGATGCATCTGCAGAAGCTAGAGTAAAATGTTTTTATTTGTCTCATTTTAATTTTTTATTTTATAAAATATACAGAAGTAAGTTCCCTTTTAGATAGAATACAAGATAGATACTATTCATTTGTTTATTGGTGCTATATTTCTTTAAATGAATATACACATTTCGTTCTTTTTTTTTTCTAATGTATCCTTACTTTTTAAGATTGCCAAGGAGCAAGCATGGGCTGGAGAAAAAGATAAAGCTGAATTAGAAATAGTCAGTCGAGAACTTCTCCTTTCCAGTGAGCTGCAAATGAAATATAGGGAGAAATTGTCGGATATCATCATGTACAAGCGATCCGAATACGAACTGCAAAAACTGAAGGAAGCCTACAATGCTGAAATTAAAGGCGAGTTACAATGAGGCTGCCTTTTCTGTTTTTTTATTTAACTTATCTAACATTTTTTATAGGTCTCAATCAACTATTGGAAACAAAGACCACCAATTTAGAAGCTTACAGGAGCCGGATGATCGAGTTAGAACAGGCTATTAATCACAGTGGAGAAGTGCTAGATTTTCACAAACGATTGATCAATCAAGTGAAAGAAGAATATGATGAAATGCTGAAGGTAAATTTGGATTATATTTAAACGCTTATTTATTTTTCCTTTTCAATTGACAACATATAGGCTGTGGAAAGTAAATATCAGACGCAGTTGACGATCAATCGGTCGTTAGAAGAACGCGTTTTAGAGTTGCAACAACGTATCGATTTATCGTTGCGTCGCGGTGGTGGACTAGTTAATTCGCCGGACACAAGTAGTTGTCACGAAGTCCATGCCACCGCAACGGATCGTACGAGCGTCGCAACGGGTATCAGCCCACATTCATCACCGCTGTCCGCATCACTTGCATCGTCCGAGGGTAGTGTGGCGTTTGCTATACACGCTGGTGACTCCAAAGAGGTCAAAAATCTTCAGGTATTATTTAAATGTTCCACTGTACTTGTATCATTAGTGCTGATTAATTTTACAATAATTTACGCCTTATTGATTAATGATTGAATATCATCATTTACCCATACTTACTTATATTTCGATAATCGATATTATTTACTGCTTTAATTATATATTACGAAGTTACTTCAGAATTAAGAAAATTACACCAATAATATTCTTTAAAAATATTGTGAATTTTTTACAGCAGTCTTTGAATATAATGTGTGTATTTTATGCCGAAGAAATATGCAACATAAATTAAAATATAAATACAAGCAAGAAGCAAAAAAATAATTTAAAAAGAAGGGAATTCAGGTAATATTTATATGGTTTTGAAAATAGTGTTTTACAGGTAATAATGGATGAAAAGGAACCACTTCAACAAACTGTTTCGACAAATTCGGAAGAAATTAATTTGAACGAGGAAGGGTCCTCATCATCAATAACACAATTTTAATGGTTATTATTTTTTATTACCGTCATTTGGTGCGTTTGCAATTACAAAACAAAAAATATCTAGTAAAAGCCTTTCATTACAAAGTGGACACGATTGTTATCTAATAAATCTTAAAATTTAGTTGTATATTCTTTTTTGTTAACTTTGAAATTATTTTTTTTATATTCTGCTTTTGAAAAAGTCGTTTTATTTTATATTATCGTGAAGACTTTTATTGTCAGACAATTTTGTGGCGTGTCAAAGTAAGTGTAATTGCCCAAATGGACTGCTTGGTTGACCACAGTGAGAATTAATCCGCGTGAATGATCATTTTATCCATGTTATCTATGGAACTTGTTGTAAGATAAAATATTGATTGTTACAAGTACTGGTTTATCAGAAATTTTTATTAAATGTGCTTAAAGATTAGTTTTCCTTTTGGTTGTAAGTTTTGGTTTATAACATTTACTTTATTAAAATACCTACACTTAAAAATACTCGGTACTTATTAATAGTCACCTTCTTTCATTAACATTAGTCGTCTTTTAATTCCTGCAATACAAAGATGTGAACGTCCACAATAATGCAGAAATCATCAACCGCAGCTGTATAATTGAGTTATTAATGAATTAACTATTCAATTGAAAGAAAAATACAATAGTGTTCTTAGAACTCTTTTATTAAACAAGTTTAGTTCTTTATACAAAATTATTTGTGGGTAGCCTGTGCTTTACGCATTTGTGTCAAGATGTTAGACAGCTCTTCTCTCTTCCTCTTGGCACGGATATGTGTACCTAACCGACGTTTCAAAAACTTAAGAGCCCGCTTGTCTTTGGATACTTTAAGTAACTCCATTGCTCTTTTTTCATACGGAGCGTGACCACATACTTCTCTAATAAGATCTCGAACGAACTTGGTATGCTTTGTTTGGATCCCCTTCAACCTATCAATAGACTCGATTTACGCACTGTACTAATAAAATAACTGACAATACATTACCTTGCAGGTCGAACCTTATCGGCCTTTGTTTTTCCTGAAGGGATCTTCGTGGTTTTACGACCTCTTTGCAGTCCTACAGCTATATCATAACGTGGGGCCATGCTGCAGAAAGTTTGGTTAGGTTTAGAAAAATTGCTATTTCAAACGGATTTGCTTGTAAAATACGCTTATAGAGGTATTTTAAACTGTTCTTCAACAATTACCTGTATTTCCTTTGATTTATATTATTTTTACTTAAAGTAAAACTGTCAACGTCAATATTAATGCTAAAATAAACGTACGAACAAAACGTGAACCATAGTCACCATAGACAAGATAACCGTCATAGATAATAGATCTACAAAGGGTAAAAACCATAGACAACTAAAAACAGGAACCTTTCCAGCGTGCCAAGCTTGTTTAATAATGGAAGTGTTTAGTCTGCGCAGGTATATATATATATGTTTACACTTTTATTTTTTTTTACTACAGATATCATTTAACCGACATCAACTGGGCAATTGTATCTCTATGAAATGGACGGTAATCGTAAATTACATTCGTCCATCTGAAGTGGCAGCAATTACGAAAAAAAAAAAAACAATTAATCGCGTTTCCGTATGCACCCAATATAAAAAGATCAAATGTTAATCTCAATGGCATTGGATAGTAAACTTATCTATGACATGTCATGGACATATCTATGATGTCTATGAATAGATGATGAACCATTGATGAACGGTTAGGAACATGGGAACATCGACATTAAGAAGATAACATCTATGAAGATAACCAAAGCAATAGTCAAGGTATATTTTTCGCTCGAGAAAAACCTGCGAAATGATGATCTCTTTGCAAATGAACAAATTTTTGTTGCCCATGAAAGCTCATTACTTTCTTTTTAATGCTGGTAGTGCTAAATAATAAATACTTTTAAATGAAAGTTAATCATCATCTTCTTATAGGAACGGCTTCTGTGGTTCCGTTTATGACTGTTTATGCGAAACAGTTGCGTTTTTCTAGTGTTACCGTAGGAATTATTTACACAATACTAGCTATTGCGGGGATGCTAGCTAAAACAATTATAGGAGGTGTTGCAGACAAGTAAGAAATTGCTTTTTTGTTGCAGATATTTTTATAAGTCTTTTAAACTCTACAAGTATTCTATAGAAGGCATTCATAAACCTTGTGGACTGGTATTTGCAGCATGTTTATTTATTTAACAAACCAAGTACATAAAGTAACTCCATAGAGCCCCACCGTGGGTACAATAATTCCCATATGCAGGCCTAGCCACAAACAAATACTTGTATATATGTGTGTATATATAAATGTACAAATGATAAGCATATCTAATAGATCTTACGAGTGGAAATGGAATATCCATACTTATCTTAAATCATAATAAAGTTTTACTTATTTGGTCTTACACTTATCGTTGTACAGGGTATTTTCATAATTATTTTTTAAATAGGCTGGGCTCTTAAATAAAGCCACCAACTGACATATAATTGATATATGCAACAAATATTGCCTTTCATCATTAAGTTTTGATTAGATTTTCAACCCTTCCTTTGTTTACAGATATCAGTGTAAAAAAGTAATATTTTTAAGCAGTATTATGGCAACCGGTTTGTCCTTTTTGCTTATGAACTTTAGTAAAAGTATCCCTACCCAGCAAAAAATGAGATTTGCGTGCGACTATGGCAGTTCTGTAATGGACACATGTGTTAATAACTTCAATATAACAGACGAATGTGCAGTCGAAATGATCACCTCAGAAACAGCTTCTACTGTTACTTGCAAGGTATGTGAATTTATATAAGATTACTTCACATGGCATTTTGCTAACAGCAGCACTGGTAAGTAATGATAATGCAATCTTATTAAATACTTTTTAATTACCCAATAAAAATTGTCTCTTTGCAGCTGTTTTGTGAAATTAACAATCAAATAAGAAATACTGTTTGCAATTCGTGGAATGTTACTGAATACTGCAAAGAAAATTCGACAGAACTTTTGTCGTTTTCTGCGGATATTTCTATGCGTCATACGGAAAAATTGGGTGATTGTGTTATTTTTAGAATAGGTGAGGTTGTTTTTTTGTTTTAACATCCTAAGGATGTGTATTTCTCCTTGTAATATTAGTAATTACGATTATGGGGGTTGTGTATATTTACTCGATTCTCTCTTTTTTGTGAATAGATAGTGTTCAGTTTGCCAATCGACAAGTTTTATATCCCTATTGCCCCCGTGATAATTCTATCCAAACGGTTTGCGATATTGATTGCGATTCCTTCGCTGTCAATGATTTAGTGCGTGTACCTACTATTAAAATGAGTTACGTTTATAGCACGGATTCTTTTTGGGTATTGTTAACTTTTTTTTCACTCACATGGATAAGCCAAGCTGTTGTTGTTAGTATAGGGGATGCTATATGTTTTGAAATGTTGGGTAAGTAACAGGATCGTTCGTCTCCGTTTAATACTCGTGTATCATGTAAATACGATTGTAACTTTTTTTATAACAAAGTTTTACAGGTGACAAGCCTAATAAATATGGTTATCAACGATTGTGGGGCGCTCTGGGTTGGGGCATTTTATCTGTTCTAGCCGGCTACTTAATAGACTTTTCTAGTGAAGGATTGGGTTATAAGAACTACACGCCAGTGTTTGTTCTCGGATTTATTATACTTTTAATTAATTTTATAAACTCTTACTTTATAAAGGTGAGAATGATGAGTATATGTATATATATATATTTGTTGTTATTAATCACCAAAACAATTACATGATCAAGTTTAGTTATTAATTACAGCATTAGGTACGGTCTCATTTTCTAAATCAATATGATTACACTGAAATAAGACTGTTGGTTGTGAAAATAAAAATGAATGTGTTTTTGCTTCAGTATCAGCAAAGGCACATATCGTCTAATCTTTTACAAGACATAAGTATGGTTGTTACGAATTTGAGGGTCGTTGTTTTCATGTTTTGGTGTACGTTTGTGGGAATGTGCACCGGTTTGGTTTGGCACTTTTTGTTGTGGTTTATTGAAGATTTAGCCAAGGTTCGTGGTTGTGACTCTCATGAATGGATCAAAACCTTACAAGGACTGATAATGGGTATACAGGTATATATATGTATATATATATTTGTGTATATGTATATAAAATTGATATTTGTTATCCTTACGTGGGTAATTATAATTCTTTTTACTACTTTTTTTTGAGTCTCTTTATTTGTCTAGTGCCTTTTTGGGGAATTGCCGTTTTTCTTTCTTTCCGGTTGGATTTTAAAACGAATAGGTCACGTGAACACGATGAGTTTAATACTTCTAGCAATTGGAGTGCGATTTACATTGTATTCATTTATCTCAAATCCATGGTGGTTCTTACCCATAGAAATTATGAATGGCCCCACGTTCGGGCTAAGTTACGCAACGATGGCTTCGTACGCAAGCATCGCAGCACCACCCGGAACTGAAGCCACCATGCAAGTATGCGCATTTTTTTTTAAAATCGTGTATTAGTATTCGTAACAGAGCAGGATCTCTTAGGGTTTGGTTGGAGCCGTATTTGAAGGAGTGGGCGTAAGCTTAGGTAGTTTTTTGGGCGGAGTACTTTTTCAAAGTTACGGTGGAGCGATTGCGTTTCGTATATTGGGTATGACAGCGTTTATAATGAGTCTAGTACACGCTGGGGCAGCGTTCTGGTTAGCAAAGTGCGATGTACGAGGTAAAGGTGCGTCTGAAACAATTCACGTTTTCTTTTTTCTTCTTAATTTTTCAACTTGAAAAAAAGTCCAAACATCAACAAAACAATAGTTTATGAAATCGGTAATTAATATGCATTTGTTAAATTGCATTTTATTGATAAAGGCTTCAACTGATTGCTGTTCTGATTCGGGTCTAAAGGCCGTCGCATCCAGTATCGAATATGAAAGGACCTCTCAAGAAGCTCGCCACTCGTGTTAGCGAAACGTTAGGAAGCAACTCCAACACACGACGGCCTTTAGACCCGAATCAGAACAACACATTACTTAATTTCGTGCGTGTCTGTGAATAAATTAAATGTTTTTGATGAAACTATAAAAAAAAGGCACATTAATATAAAGTTTTATCCCCTTTACAGATATGTTTGCAAGATATGCTGCGCCCCAAGATGCATTGCAAATGGTAGAGAGCAGACAAGATGTAGTGCAATAATGAATGTAATGATGCATTAATCGGGATAATTATACAATTTTTAGCACACCAAGGGTTAGAATATGAAAATAAAATTACTTATCTGTGATCGTACTACAGATAGAAGACTTAATGTCATGATTACCTTCGTTGAATCAAATTCCAAAGATTATTGTACTTACCTTTTTTTTCTTGTTTGAACAAAATTGACATTCCATAACGCACATCACTATGTATATTTCAGTTAGTTTTGCATTGATATATTGTTCTGTGCTATAAATGTCAAATTAAAAAAGTAAAAGAGAGACTCGCCTAAATTACCATCAATAAATTATTGCGGACACGCTTTTCCCCCACTTCTTAGTGAAACAGTATCGCGATAAAAATTAAAATGTGGGAGGAACACGTGTCCGCAATAATCAATATATAATGGTAACTTGAATCTTTTATTATTTTTTTTTAATTAGTTATTTACCGCAGTCTCCAATTTCTATCCTTTATAACTGTCAAGTTATTCGTTGATTTGTTTATTGTACTTAATTTTCATTTATATATTCTGATAAGTATTTTTCAAAGATTCAATCTATTTCTTTATTTAAGCATTAATACAATCAGTATATGTTGATTCACACATTGGGGCATTTATTTAAGTATTTGTTTCTTTTTATTCTTTTGCTGTTGTTACTCTAAAAACCAAACTATGGTACCTATTAAAAATTATTTATTCAGTTTCCATGGGTGTTTCTTCATCTTCATCTGTACTGCTTTCATTGTCCGTGCTGCCACTGCTTGAAGTGCTACTTGCACTTGCAGACTCCAGCCATTCATGAAACTGATTATCTTTTGCAATTATTTTCCATTGATTCATTTTTTTTAAATCTACAACCAAACCATGAAATTGGTCATTGTTGCATTATATGCATACATATATACTACATTATGGATATAAGTTGATTTACTTACCAAGTGCATAAAAATCGTTTAAGGTGAGTTGCCTATTACCATCTTCGTAAATTCCACCAAAAACGTATAGAACGCTGTATTTTATGGCCAAACCGGCATTCATTCTTGGTGTTGGCCAAAAAAGGTTAAGGTTTTCATATGTTGAAAATGTACTACTATTGGTTTTGCTCAAGTTTTCGGACGGACCTACAGTTACAGTAAAAACACCATCATCTGACACTGTTTGGAATTTTGGAATATTTGTATCCATACTTTTGGTGATTTCTTTGTCTAAATTCGATTAAAAAATAAAAAAAAAATTAAAGTGCTATATGCATTTTATTTTACCCATGTCATCTGCATTTTTATTTCGTCTACATTTTTTCTTCTCCTTGTCCATTATTTGAACGGTATGCCAACGGAGCTTTCCGAGATCCATACAGTAAAGATCATCGAAAAATGAACTCGTCAAATTTTCTTCATCTTCAACATCATACACTCCACCGAAAGTATAAGCAACACCGCCGGAGGCGGCAGTTATCGGCATACCACAACGTGCGGATACGCAAATGCCACCAATCTTTGTTTGCACCCATTTCCATTTCAATCCTGAAGCGTCATTTCCTAAAACAGTTACTTAATATTATACAACTGATAATAAAAACGGGCAGGAAATGTTACCAAAAGGAGCAAGCAAGAATGCATCTGTAAAAATGTGTCCCTTGTCCACGTCTTTTTTAATTCTTTCTTTTCTGTAACCACCATATATTAAAATTTTTCCGTCAGGTAAAGCAACCATACAACAACCTGATCGAGCATCAGGAGGGGTCCCTAAATTAAAAAAAAAAACTTAACAAGAGACCAGTGAAAAGAAATTAAAATCGACAAAACCTGCTGGTTCTATTTTCTGCCATTTGTAATTTTCAGTATTAAACACGTGGACATCATTGAAGTATTTGTAATTTCTTAAGTTGTCATTAAAGCCACCAAAAACTATAAGCTGTTTTCTAAAATAAACCATTCTATGGCCACTCCGAGCACTGGGTCCATTAACAGCTGCTATTTTCTCCCATTTCCTTTTACTAATATGGTACACCCACAAATCATTATAATGATAAAATTGTGATTGAGTAGGGCTTGTAAATTCACCACCAAATAGCCAAAGTTGGCCATTATTGGCAGAAGAGACGGCCATTTGGTGTCCACAACGAGGCGACGGACCAGAAGGGCATTGTAACAATGACCAACTGTTTTGGTTTGTATTATAGAAAAACAAATCATTGTACACCTGAGTCTACAATAGTAACTGATAAAAGTCATATCATAAAGACAAAGTCAAGTTTAACTTATGTTTGTCACCTTCTTCCCATTATAAAATTCTCCTCCAAATAAAACTAATTCGTCTTTGTCTGGATGTGGTACGAATGTAAAGTTGCATCTTCTTGTTGGAAAATCTACTTTAATCTCTGTAACTGTTGTCCTCTTTTGTTCCTCATACTCAATCTCTAACAAAATTTTTTCAATATCGTCCTTAAAAGTGAAACACTGTTACACAGTAAAACAGTAAGTAAATAAAAGGTCATACTTCACCTATTGCCATTAACGCTTTTTTTTGTTTGATATTAATTTTCTTTTCTGTTTTCGAAGCGGTTTTTTCGGTTCCTCTGCCTTTCTTTTTATTTTTATCCTTTTTTCCCATTTTGGTATAACCTGAACAAAATAAATAATAAAGCTAAATTTGTCCCCAGTTGACTGAAATCAACACCATTCATTAAACATATTAATATTGCTTTATTTATGTAAATATAGTTTTTCTACTAAATTCTAACCTTTTCACAGACGGTGCTCACGTTTTATGACAGCAGCCATTTACACTAATTAACATCATATTCACACTTAATGTTTGTTTATCCATGTCATTTTAATAGTTTAACAAACTTATGCAACACACCTTGCCTTTGTGTATATTGCATATATAACAAATAGGCAGCTTTTAATTATTTATTACACATCCATTTGTCTTTAAAGTTGAATTAAATTAATAATCAGATCAAATAGGCAAATTTAGTTGTTATCTTTTTTTTTTAATTCATTTATATATTTAAACTTTATACAGATCAATCAACTGTTTACTGTCCTTCAATTTTCCAATATTTATTTAACGTTTAAGCACTTATTTTTTTCTTTATTTCTTTTTATTAGAAATTTCTTTGTTAAAAAAGTAAATATTTTATTTCTTACAATAAGAATACAAAAATATAAACACATGGCAACTTATTAGTCGATTCAAACAATTATTAGCGAAAAATGTCAACGCTGAAAACAACATTACTACACTTATGGCAATCGTTTAATTTGGACTCGTAATTCGTTTTGCCAATATAGCTTTCAAAGTGTGAGCTGTTTCACCAATTAATGAATTTATGATTTCATTCGTCAGTTCGTTGATAACGATCAGCTCATCTTTATCATAATTAGTCCATTCAGATTCCTCGTTTTGTGACTCTAACACCAGCAATTCGTCAACGTGATCCCTCTTCTTTCTACTCCATTTTATTATCATGCTTTCTTTTCGATCGATTTTCTCGTATCCTAAACTTTCTTTCACTTTCTTCATAAGGAATTTTTCGAGTATTCTTTCGTCAAAAGCTTTTTGGAATACCAGCTTCGGCTTCTTTGTAATTTGCATCCAAGAGGGTCCAGACTCTTCTTCGAATTGTTTGTAATATTCGACGGTCAGTTCCTTGCACAAATCAAAAATGAACCTCTGACACGACGGTTCGATTTGGCTCTGCATTTGTCTTTTAATCTCCGGTAGTAGAGACACATGTGGCAGAGTTCCATTTAAATGGGCATTGAACAAATAGTTGCTTATATGATGCACTATCAGGTTAACTTGTTCAGCTGATGAGGGTAGTATGGATGGAATCGTCGCAGTTAAAACTGGAGGCATGTAAGGAGGTGGAGGCTTGTTTGGAATTTCACGTAAATACAAATAAGGCAAATGTTCCTTTTGTTGTTGTTCGATTTGTTTGATCTAAAAAATTATTAAAAGTTGGAATAGGACCAAACGATTATTTTGTTTTTCAATTCATACCTCTTGTTCAATAGCTAACTGTTTCTTCACAAGTTCTTCTTCTTCTTCGCTAGCAAACGTGTGTTTAGGTAAAATTTGTTTATCGAAGAGAACAATTTCTGAATAATAAAAATATTTTATAAATTGAACATCTTATATATAAATATGTATACATATACAAAATAATTTATACGAACACATGAATGTGAAATTTTAAAATTGATAAGTTACCTGATTCAGGAGAGACACCAGACAATGAAGACGTATTGTATGTATTTATGCGCAGATTTTGCAACTCAGAATTCGGTTCACTTCTAGAAACATTTGCATCCGTTAAAATTTCAAAAATGCGTTTCCGCACATTCTTATAATTACAATTTTCTTTTTCCAAATCGTTACCGTCTTTTTTTTCTATAGTGTCCAAAGAGTATACGTTTTCCTTTTTAATTTCTGCTTCTTTGCTTGTAATGTTATCTTTTGTGCTAACGTTTCTCAAGTGCTTTACTTCATTTTTACTTAGCAATTCGACTTCTTTCGGAATACTATATTCTTCATTTTTTTCTGTATCAGTTGAGATCGAACTAGATTCAAACTGTCCTGCAACATTTTCATTTTTAATTGTTTTATTATATGTTTGAAGCTCACTATAGCTTTTTTCTATTTCTATTTCATTATTTTCTGTTGTGGATACTTGCTGTTCATCTTTCATTACTACATCATAGTTGCATACATAAAAATAATTATTAACATTCTTACCAGCACTTAGATCTTTGTTAAATTCCAAGGAATGTTCCGATTGAATGTCGTCAGCAATAGCTAAGCTAAAATCAACTTTTGATGCACTTAAGTCTCTTTTTTCATCCTTGAAAATAACTTCGGATATAGTTGGTGATTTGTTTGTTTCCTCATACCCGCCAATTTTGTACAATATATCGGGCATTTCTGTGATTTTAGAAACTTCTACTATTTCAGACGCGGTTACTAATTCACTTTGTAAACTTGATAACGCGTCTGATACCGTATTTTGAGGTTCAGAATCAGAAACTTTGTTTATAACATCGGGAATCGAAGAAGCAACGGAGGCTTTTAGCTTTTTTAATTCCTTATTATAGCCCACAATAATGCTCAAACGATCAACTGAATTATTGCTTGCCTCTTCTGAGTATGCTCCATTTATTTCTTCTTCACAGCTCGAAGGATTACTATTTATAGTTGAAGTGGAAATGTGTTTAAAACCGCATTTGTCTTTTTCTATGGTATTATCTAATATTTCAAAAGGAGTCGTCTCAACTGGAACTGATTCCGTATCAACATTTGCTTCGATGTTAGTTTCGAGACATTCGTTTTCCAAATCAGAAACAGATTCATTGCAAGAAAAGAGCCCTTTAGTAGAAACAAAATTATCGGACGGAATGTTATCAATATTCTCTGTTTGAATAGACACCGAAATGTCACTTATTACTGTTTTTAATTCATTATTAGTTGTGGAATCGTTTTTACAACAAATATCGACATTTTGGCGAGGCACGCATTCGAGTTCAATTTTACTTTGAATTTTAGTAGCGATATCTGCGTATGTATTTAAAGAAGTTTCCTCAAAGTCTTCAGAGTAACTAGTTTGATTTACTTTCAAGCTTTTTGGTGTTTTATTTGGAATGTTTTCGACCTGCTCAATAGTATAACTCCTTTCGATTATTTTTTCTGCAATGTCTTCACTCTTTGTCAAACTAGCAGAAGAGATCAATATAGAATTGAATTCGTTTTCGTCACCGATTTCCGTCAATATATTATTGTTATCGACTTTTAAATTGTTGTCGGAGTTGGATGTATTTCGACTGACATTGGCTTTATTACTTTTTTTGGCGTCTTTACAAAACTGCTGTATTGCTTCATTAGACATTATATACAGTTCATTGTCTTTAAAACGTTGCTCTTGTCGTCCAGTCATGTTCTGCCACATGACATTCAGTTGGCATCCTTTGAAAGTGAAATTTGGACTGCTTGACTCATTCTGAAGGGAAAAATAAGGATTAGTAGCAGCTACTCGACTTATTATCGAATTAGCTGCGGATTCCAATTCGGCAATCTGACGTTCTTCTTCCACAAGTTGTTGATGCCATTGTAATAACTCTTCAGCTATTTTACGTCGTTTTTGCAAGGCTGTCTCTCTCATCAACAAGGACCTAAAAAAGGTATAATTGCAAATTTGTAAAATGAGTTTGATATATTAAAAATTTTAAATTTAACAATAACAATAATAATAAGCTGCCTATTTATTTAAAATCAATAATAAAACGATCGTCGAAATGTTTAAGACTTTCTTTTGCTTATTAAAACATTTTAAATCCCTGTTTAACAAAATATAGAACGTAGGGGTCTCAATTTAACTTACTTTAAACGGAAAATGGAGAATTAAAGATAATGTAATAACAGTTGAAAAGAAACCGCTTTTGATGATCGTATATCTTTGATAAAAAGAACTTGCATTTTCCGTTTTTAAAGGGTAATCGATGTAATAAAATTTTGATGTTTACACCGAGTGACACGTAAATGTGTAGTACAACTTATAAATGCCTCCTGCTGAATGAAGTACAGACTAATTTTAATACTTCCTTCCTAAACGAAAACACGTTTTTGGAATGTGTCCAACAGGATATCTAATTTTAGATAGATTGTTTGATCGCTCCTGATAATTATGTACTATTAATAAATCGGCAATTTGACCAGAATACGAGCCTCCGAAAAGCAACGCCACATTAATACGTCAAGAGTAAAATAAATAATCATCTATCTATATACATATATGTTATTTGAGGCATAGATTAAATTTTTTCGAATTTATGCGAAATAATTTTTATTTATTATATTTATTGAAACATATTCCTTTTTTTTTCGAAAAACTGATTTTAATGTTTTCTCCTTTCATAAAACATTAGTTTGTTTTAAGTGAGAATAGTTTTAATGTTACCTTTTTAAATGATCATTTTGTTTCCGTCTGAATTCCTGTTCTTTCGGATTAGAATCGCTGGAAAAGTCTGAGTTTTGAGAAGTTACAATTTCATCTGTCAGAAGGCTACTCGCGATGGATTGTGAGGAGCGTGAAGACAGACTTATGATGTCGTTGTCACTCATCCCAAGACCCTTCTTGGGAAATCGTGACGTTTCGGACATTATAGACTCACTGTATCGATAAACACCGACTACCTTTAGGGGTCCAGACGAATGCCGGCGTTCACGTGACAACGATGATTTCAGTTTATTCACGGTCTCACTAGTAGTCGACAATTGGGCCTTGATCATACTTCGCTGTTGTCGTAAACGCGTTTTACGTTCTTTGGAAGCGGCTTTTTGCATTTGTTTTAACCTATTCAAACAAAATTTGGATAAAACATTATCTTATTTATTGCATCAAAACAATTAACCTTTATATACCTTTGCATTTCGTGGCGCTCGTGTTGAAGCTTGACAAGTAGGCCGCGTTGTTTTTTCTTAATCATTGATATTTCATTCAGCTGCCCAGAGTCCTTTAAATACCTGTAATATTTTACACATTCATATTTATTTATGAAATACTTCACCTACGGTAGACATTTAATACCTTTTTTGTATTTCTAACCACGCCAATTCACTCTTTGTTCTATCAAGTAGAGATTTCTCTCGAATCTTAAGTATTGTCTTAAGATTTTCTATTCTTGCATCTTCGTCTTTTATTAGCTGATTGAACTTGTAAAAGTAATTTCATTAACTTCAATACAAGGCTTTATAAATTAGAATATAGCAGTAAATTAAATTATTAATGAAATAGTTAATTATTGAAAAGATAATGAATGTGTGTAACATTACCAGTCTAATGAATGTACATCCTACATGAAGTTTTAGTATACAATATACATTTACATAGGTACACCGTGCATTATCAAAAATAATTTGAATTACCAGAAGAACTTACCATTCCTAATGGCAAACCAGGGTACAAATGGTCCTTGTGGTGTTTATTAAAATTTAATATTGTGGAATTACTGTTGTATGATTTGTCAGATTCATTAATATCTGTTACACTGGATATGCTAAGGTTAGTATTAGAAAAAAAACTCTTTTCGAGCATGTCCGATGTCGTAGAAGCGGTAAAAATTGGCTCACAACTGTTCAACACATCCGACCCTCTGGAATAGTTTATGGTTCCAATTCTGGCATTACTTTTTGTCTTTGAGGAAACGACATTATTTGAGTTTTTCTCTTTAACAACTTCATCTTCTCCGTTTTTATTGTTTGGTACATAATGATTTTCCAATAACGACTTTTCTTTTTCCACAGCTTCTTGTAATGACTTGTTGAAATGATGCAGAAGTCGTATTTCTGCTTCAAATTTCAAATGAATCTCGTTAGAATTGATCTAAAAGGGAAAACGGTTTTAATTCTTATGATTGTACTGGGCATGCTACATAATACAAGAAATTACATACTTTAGTGTCTATTGTTTTAGGTTGAAACTTTTGATTGAGCGGAACTTGAAGGTGTGCAATTTGATCTTTAGCATTATGCAAAGACAAGTGCGAGGTATTTAGCGTGACGGACGGACATTTCAAAGAAGGCACAAAATTTAAATTGTCAGCGCTTAAGCTTTCAAAGTCGCTTGAGTATTTACGCTTATCAATTTCAGAGAAACGTTCAAATTGATCTTCGTTTAAATTCATCAGTTTTGTTTCTTTGCACTTTGAATTTAAAAGGGAAACAGTCGTATTTTCGTTTTTCTCTGAATCAACTTCATTTTTAGTATTTGGTTTTGTATACGTTTCAACTCCCAAACATTGCATATAACTTAAAAAACTCGATAACATCGTAGTATTTCCTGTGTCTTCTGTTTCTAAAAAAAAAAATAAATCTGTATTATACGTCTCTGCAAATACTTTAAATGATTTTTTATTTATTTTGCAGATAAACTACATTTTGGATTTACCTCCTGCATTATTAGTGGCACTACTATCATTTTTATAAATCATATTCGTTAGAGGCAAAGGTTTACTCTCACCTTCAGATAAAGGCAAAGAAGAACAAGGTTTTGAAATAGTCGAATTCGCAGTTAATTCATTTACAATTTCGTCTTTTTTATGCTTTAGACATTTGTCGTCAGTATCTGCATGTGACAATAATGTTTGAATCGTTTCGTCTGATTTCGTTAATTTTCGTCGTCTGCTCCTTCTCAAGTTGTTGTGGCGTTCTGGATTACATACCAAATTGTAATCATCTGTTTTATGTGATGAATCCAATGAATGCAGTAAATGTGCTTGCTTACATATCCTTGTGTGCACTGAACTTTCTGTTGAAATATCTGGTATGTTTTTCGATGTATCTGAATCACTAGCATATTCTCTTTTTATATTGTTATTCACATATTGAGAATCAATTTGTAGAGGTTTCAGTGAAAGAGGTTTAATGGTTTGCAGATCTAAGTCCATGCACTTATTGGAAACAAGTGATTTCAAATCACATCTACTATTACTAGAATTTGATCTATTTATTGAATTTTGTGAAAAATTAACATGTAAATCAAATGGCTGAGCAAAAGAAATGTCCTTATTTTTCCAAAAAGTAATACTACTTTCAGACAGTTGAATTTCTTTAAAAATTGAAGGAACAACTTCTACATGATTAATACTGTTAAATTCATCATTAAAAAGTTCATAATGCTTTTGAGAATTCTCAACTATTGGTGCCGGCTTACTTGTTAAATTTTCAGTATTTCTCTTAGTCGCAAAGTGATCACTTAACACATTTGATTTTGAAAACTCAGAAAAATCCATTCTTTCATTGACTTTTTTGTTAACAGCATGACTGAGTTTCTTTTTCACAGCGTTTATAAAATTATATGGATATGGCAATGTAGCAGGCACGTCAAGCCAAGTAAGCTTTGATTTCTCTAAATTATTTTCATTACTTTGTATGACATTTTCTTCCTTCAAATTTTCATTTTGTTGTATGGTAAGAATATTTCTATACAATTTTCTTTGTCTAAACCCTCTAAAATAAGCTTGAATTTTAGTAGCAGCATTACATAAAAGCTCATCCCTCTTAACATTACTTTCCAATAATCCTGTATCAGTTTTACAGTGTGATTCTAAATGAGAATTAAGCTGCGTTACTTCGTTTTCTTTCCTTTTTGAGATATATCCAAACTGATCAACAGATACTTCTCTATCTTCTTTGTTAAAATTATGTTTGGGTTCCTCCAATTCACAAATGTTTGGGACTCTTGGTAATAAATTACAGATCAACTTATTTTGACAAGTTGAGGGTTGCTTATTTTCAGATGCCGTAACTTTTTTTTCATATGATTGAGATTTTCTTCTTTTTTGTTTAACACTTTTTGACACTAACTGCAAAGACTTCTCATGAAGTTCTTTTAATTTTTTTTTCCTCAAATCAATTTCATTCTGAGTTTCTTTAATTTTCACTTTCATTTGCTCTGCCCTTTTCTCTCTTTGTTTTTTAATATATTCTCGTGCCTTTTCTTTGTTATATTCATTTTTCTTTTTTTGGCAGTCAATTTTATTATTTTCATTATTTGAAGCTTTGTATTTTTTCAAAGAAACATAATTAAATCTTGTAGTAATATTTGATGATACTTGATGTATTTTGGGTAGATTTGCTGACTTGTTATACTTTAAAAGAATATTTTCTCTTCCTACAGTCGCATATTTTTCATGGTTTCTTTTATTAATATCACAGTGTGTATTGTTAGGAGGTGGTTCCTGGCCATTACACGACAACTTTTCAACTTGTTTAACATCAGTCTTTGTAAGATTTTCATTTTCACTGCACAATCCTGTATTGATCAACTTCTGTAATTCTAACTTGAGATTCTCGATTTCCTGTTTTGTCTTTATAACTTTTTTGCTGACTAAATCGATTTCATTTTTGTCATTTTCTTTTATGGACGAAGATTTATCTACTGCTGAATTCTTTTTTTGTGTCTCAAACGGCATCACTCCAGTTGCTGACTAGATTGTCTACGGCTATCTGGTGTGTTAAATGGAGGCTGCTTCTTAAAAGAAATAAATTATTGCCAGTACCTACAGTCATTCACATGACACAAAAATCGCTTATACTACAAAGTTATATTTTTAAAAACTCAAAAAATAATGAGAATTAACGAACTTCAACATAACCTTACCTTGCGTTGCAATGAGAAACAATTATTGATCTTTATCTATGGTTATAAACATTGATAACAAGTATATACTGAGACATAGATACATAAATAGTATTACCAGTAAGAAGAGGTACCTATTCTTCCAGAGTCACCAAGCCATTAGCATAATAGATGGAACAAATCTCAGAAGTTGCAGTTTTCGACTAAACGTCTCGACCATGTCTCGACCTAACATTCATTTATTAGACCACGGCCTCTTAGATTAGGCTAAAGTGGTACAGTACTGACGGGTCACAGTTATGGGTACAGCGTGATACATCATTGGTTCAGTTCCATAGTTTCGTGTTCGAAGACCTAACCTTAATCATAATAATTATTAATTATCATGGTGCGAAGACACAATAACCAACTTCCCGAAAATTTACCGCAATTACAAAATTTAATTAAGAGAGATCCGATATCTTATCATGAAGAATTTTGTCAACAGTATCAACATTTCAGGAATGTTATTGAAATTTTTGAGTTGTCACCGGAACAGCCACATAAAGTACTGGATGAGCTGACAATGTTTATGGCCCAAATAGCAAATTGTTATCCTAAGGAACTTTCAAACTTGCCCCAAACAATTATAAATCTGTTAGAGAAACACAACACCATTTTGGACAGTTCTGTTCGTTTACAATTTTGTCGAGCATTAATTTTGCTACGCAGCAAAAATTTATTAACACCAACAGATCTTCTTGAGTTATTTTTCAAACTGTTAAGATGTCAAGACAAGGAACTTAGGACATTTTTACAATCACACATAATTAATGATATAAAAAATATAAATGTAAAGCATAAAAATGCAAAACTAAATACAGTATTGCAAAATTTTATGTTTACTATGCTTAAAGATGCCAACGTGAAAGCAGCTAAAATGTCAGTAAACATTATGATTGAACTTTACAACAAAAATGTATGGAATGATGCCAAAACAGTAAATGTGATAGCGTCAGGATGTTTTTCACAAACAGTCAAGGTGATTTCAGTATAATTTTTTTTAGTTACAGTATCAATAGTATATGTATATATATTTATGCTTTTTACTTATAAAGGAAAAACTTTTTTGGTAGGTAATGGTTGCTTCCTTGAAATTTTTCTTGGGTAAAGATCCAGAGGAGAATGTAGCAGATTCTAGTTCAGAAGATGAAATAAATCCTAAGGAAATTATGTTTTCTAATAAAGTTAATAAAAAAACAAGGAAAAGAACTAAACATTTAAATAAAATAAAAAAATTAGTTGTGAAAACTCAAAAAAGGAAGTCCTCAGCACCAGTGTTTAATTTTTCTGCTTTACATTTGATTCATGATCCACAAGGTAAAATTTGTTAATAAAATAAATAAAAGGGACAAACCACATGATTCAATTACCATTTTTATAGGAATGGCAGAGAAACTTTTTAAACAGTTAGAAACCACTACAAAAAGATTTGAAGTAAGGCTGATGACACTGGATGTTATTTCTCGTTTAGTTGGTGTGCATAATTTGTTTCTTTTTAATTTCTATCCTTACATTCAACGTTTTATCCAACCTCATCAAAAAGAAGTTATTAAGATATTACAGTTTGCAGCCCAAGCAAGTCATGAACTGGTCCCTCCAGACATTCTTGAACCCATTATAAGAACAATAGCTAACAATTTTATAACTGAAAGAAATTCGGCCGATGTAATGGCAATTGGTAATATTATTATAATGGGGTCGACCATTTTATCAATTTTTAATTATATGAATTGTTAATTCGAAGGTTTAAATGCAACTCGAGAAATATGTGCCCGATGCCCTCTTGCCATGGAGGAAGACCTCCTGAAGGATTTGGTCGCATATAAAACTTATAGAGAAAGGCCAGTCATGATGGCTGCTCGTTCTTTAATCCAACTGTTCCGCGCCATTCGGCCAGAACTGCTTCATAAAAAGGACAGAGGAAAGCCCACAGATGCCGCTTTGGAAATATCGGAAAAAAAGTAAAAACTTTATCTCGATAATTTATATGTATACAACAGAATAGAAATGAAAATAATGTATTACATTTACAGATATGCTCAAGTTGATGCTAAAGATTACGTTTGTGGAGCAGAAGTTCTTTTGAAATCTGGGGATAAACAAGTTGAAATTGGTTCTTCATCTGACAATGATGATGAAGAATGGGTCGACATTCCTCAGTCAGATGAAGAATATATAGAATTGCATAGCGAGGGTAAGCTTATTATTGGAAATTGATTTTTAAAATCTCAGTACCAATTTTTGATAACTTTAGATGATGAAGTATCTGAGGAAAAGTTGGAACTTTTCGTAAATAAAGAAGAACCCAATGATAATATCATAGATAATAGTAATGATAACAAAAACGAAAGAAAGATTGTGGTAGCTAAACGTCGTTCGAATGAAAAAGACGTCAGGAAGGAATTAGCCCAAAAAATATCTCTCCATCGAATTCTTACAGATGAAGATTTTAAAAAGATAGACGCAGCAAATATACGAAAACATATTCGAAAGGCAACTAAGGGCGAAAAGAGAAAATTTGAAGAAGCTTTAAAGGAGCCTGCAGAATTAGTCAAAATAGGTGACATCGAAAACGTTTATAAAAAAAAGAAACATGATAAACAAACGAGAATCGAAAGTGTTAGGAAGGGGCAAATGGATAGAGAAAAATTTGGGTATAAGGATGGAAGAGTAAATTCTAAGTGTAGCAGAACTAATAAAGAGAAAAGGAAAACTAAAAACTTCCAAATGATTAGATTGAAAGAGCGACACAAAACAAAGAAGAGCTTTAAAGAAAAACAGGTTGCCTTGAGGAACTACCTCGTTAAGCAGAGAAGAATGAAATAATTTCAGATTAATTGTTCTTGTTTGTTTATTAAATCCAATAGCGCGACCAATATTATTTAATTGTCCCTTTAACCTGGACAATTGACAGTTATCATTCTTTTAGTATTATCGGGATTCATTTATGTAGTTTATTTTACGTCGAAATCCGTTTTACGATTTTGTAGATTTATTTGTATTAATATTTAAAAGAAATTATGAGTGCTGTCGGCACAGGACAAAGTACTATAAGCAATTTCTTATGCTGAAGTGTACGATTTACAATTACAATTCTTTTACATTACAAAGAGTGATTAAACAAATTGTTCACAAAAAAGTGAATTTCAACCACTCGAAGCAATGGTGCTAACAGTTTCGAGCTTACCGTGACTGATAAGGGGGAAGAACTTGTACTAGTAATTTTAATGAATATTTCCCTAGTAATGTTTTTTATCGGAAATGCAATCAATAAAAATGAATACTGTAAATTTTCCATCCAGTGGATACTAATTTTAATGAGAAATCGGAATTTCCAAAACACTTTTTGTTTATTGAAATTATGATAAAATATTTTTATTGCAAAATACGTGAGAAACGTAATAGTGGTATAATTAAATTTAAATACGTAGAAATGAATTGTTGTAATTCTATAGAAAGGACGGTAGATGGTGCACTTAGGAAGTCGATATGGCATGGAAAGGGTGTACAGCGTAACGGAGCGGAATCTATTTTTTTCTAGCAAAGTAATGGTTCAATTAAAAAGATACAAGAAAGTTACAGTCAAATAAAAATATAGGGAAATGACCCAAATAGGAGAACCGTTAACTCTAAATCGAGGTAAGGGACCATAGTAAGGTTAAGAATAGGATGTAATTTGATTGCATATTTTATTAGACATTAAACGATGTGTGGAGCTCTTAGAAAAGCTTCAAAAAAATGGTGAAGTACCAGCTACAAAATTAGCAGCTCTGCAAAAAGTTCTACAAAGTGACTTTTTGAATGCTGTACGTGAGGTGTATGAGCATGTCTATGAAACAGTTGACATCCAAGGCTCTCAAGATGTAAGAGCTTCTGCAACAGCTAAGGCCACTGTGGCTGCTTTTGCTGCCAGTGAAGGACATGCACATCCAAGAGTAGTCGAATTACCTAAAACTGAAGAAGGGTTGGGTTTCAATGTAATGGGTGGAAAAGAACAAAATTCTCCGATTTATATTTCAAGAATTATACCAGGTGGTGTTGCAGATAGACATGGAGGTTTAAAAAGGGGTGATCAACTTCTCAGTGTTAATGGAGTTGTAAGGAGTAAAATAATAAATGCATTTTACTTTATTAATTTTTATAAATAGTAATTTTTCCAATGTTCATGAACTCCTTTGTCTTTTTAGTCAGTTGAAGGAGAAAATCATGAAAAGGCAGTGGAACTTCTTAAGCAAGCCCATGGTTCTGTAAAATTAGTTGTAAGATACACTCCTAAGGTACTTGAAGAAATGGAAATGCGTTTTGATAAACAAAGAGCTCGTAGACGCCAGCAATACAATTAATTATACTGCTAAAAATTTTTGTGCAATATTCCATATGCAATGTGTCCTATACAGGTGCATGTAGAATTCAATAGCTTACTAATAATTTATCTAATAAGCTATGTATACATAAAAGAAATAATTTTTTGGAACTGAACTATTTATACAATTCATTTATCATCCTTCATTTGTTTACAATAATTAATGGTAGGATATTTAGGAACACAGACAGAAATTACAAGATTTATTCTTAATTCAAACAAATATTGTAATTTATTGACATTATAAATAAGAAATTGTTGGGAGCTGCTAATGAGTTTGTCTATCGTCTTTACTTAGTCATTACAAAACGCGTTTACATGTTAACGATGTTAACTGATAGGTGAATTAATGGATTACAAAAAAAATAGTATGTTAAATGTTAAATTAAATATCATTAAATGAGTAATATCAAAAATTACTCCGTAAGATACGCTCGTGATGCGGAGCTGTAATGTGGGTTGCCGCAGTAAATGTAAAAACCTGTAAAAATATTAATTAACCGGTACACCAATAACCTCAATCATATGATATGACCAATCACGTATAGTGAGTGATAAGTACAGAACAACAAAAAAGTGACAATTAGATAAGAAATATAAACATTATTTGTTATAATTAGAGCACAGTAAAATGTCAGGTGGCGATAATTTGAATATTGCTCTTATTACAGGAATAACCGGTCAAGTATGCTTAACAATCAAAAGAGAATGATTCATACAAATAATGTAATTAAATTTCTGATGTACAGGATGGTTCTTATCTGGCAGAATTTCTTCTAGAAAAAGGATATCGTGTTCATGGAATTATTCGCAGAGCTAGCACATTTAATACATCCAGAATAGAACATCTATATGCTGACAAATTTACTCACAGAGGTGGTAAAATGAAACTTCATTATGGAGATCTGACAGACTCTAGTAGTCTGGTAAAGATTATTTCTACAATAAAACCCACTGAAATTTATAATTTAGCTGCACAAAGCCATGTTAAAGTTTCTTTTGACTTGAGTGAGTATACAGCAGAAGTTGACGCTATCGGCACACTCAGATTGTTGGATGCTATCAGAACATGTGGATTGGAAAAGCAGGTAAAATTTTATCAAGCATCTACTTCAGAGTTGTACGGTAAAGTACAGGAAATACCACAGTCAGAAACTACACCGTTTTATCCCAGGTCACCTTATGGTAATATTTTTACATAATAATGAATTATTTGGAAATATGTACTATTTCAGCATGTGCCAAATTGTATGCCTACTGGACAGTAATTAATTACCGAGAAGCCTATAGTATGTTTGCATGCAATGGTATACTGTTTAATCATGAAAGTCCAAGAAGAGGTGAAACATTTGTTACTAGAAAAATTACTAGGGAAATAGCCAAAATTTATTTGGGTTTGTCTGAATCTTTTGAACTGGGAAATTTGGATTCCAAAAGGGATTGGGGACATGCCAAAGATTATGTAGAGGTATTTGATTTGTATTTACGATGGTTGAATTTACACAAAACACTGGAGTAAAATCAAAGTACTTACAGAAATGTGGCAAAACTTTTTATTCAGTAGGCATGTTTTAAGGCAATGTGGTTAATGTTACAACAACAAGTTCCTGAAGATTTTGTCATTGCTTCTGGAGAATCACATAGCGTACGTGAATTTGTGGAGGCTGCATTTAATTTTGTAGGTAAAGAAATATTATGGGAGGGCAAGGGTTTAGATGAGGTGGGTAAAGAGAAAGGAAGTGGGATTGTAAGAGTAAAAGTAAACCCAAAATATTTTCGACCTACAGAAGTGGTAAGCATTACGTTTTGTTTTTATTTTATTATAATAAATCATAGCACCTATATGAATACTATTGAGAAATACATTTTAGGATATTCTTCTGGGGAATTCCTCAAAAGCAAGAATACAGTTGGGATGGTCACCAAAAGTGCCTTTTTTGCAATTAGTTGAAAACATGATGAACTCTGATATAGAATTAATGAAAAGTAATCCTTCAGCTTAAAATTTTATGAAACTATTGAGGATATGTTCTGTATTATACATATTCACATATAGGCATATGAGAGGTTTGAAGGTAGTTATTAATACAGTAATATTGAAAATATTGATAAAAAGCATAGGTATCAATTACAGATATTTTTAAAAGTTTTTATTTTATAAAGTTTTAGTTTTATTTTCTACCAATTTCATTTCTTGCATAATTTTGTGCCTTTGTTAAAAAAAAGAAATACTGTACCTGTACTGTACTCCAAAAACTGTCGAAATTATTGTTATTCCTTTTTCCCTTTTAAATACCGTATTCTTTTCATATACTCAGTAAGTGTATTTTACTTATTTTTATATTCCTGTAAGTCTTTAAAACATTGAAACTCCCATTATAAAACTAAGTTTAATTATCTTAAATATTTTTACAGTACAGTTACAGTAATATCAGTTATCTACTTATGTACACATTGTTCTTCAATTCCAGTTTATTAAATAATATACAAATCAATCTTTGATTTTGTACAGGTGGAAATCTAGGTATATTGCACAATTGCATTATCTTCGTAAGCCGAGATTTTAACTCGAGTTTCATTAATTTTTAAGGAAATATACTAAAAATTAAACATGAAATACAAGAGCAGTTTTGCTTATTAATTACGTTGACAGACAAGAAAAATTGTGATTGGAATAATAGTATTATTTTTTTTTACAAAATGCAATGCGGCAAGATGTGTGGCACACTGTTTAATGGCAAAGTTCATTTTCCAATATTGAAAATAATTAAAATACTTGCAAACATGTTCATTTTTAAATAATCTTTCGCCCAATTCTTATTATTAAAACTAATTTATCGACTTCTTTGGCTACCTATTATAAATATACACTTAATTCTGGCGCCGGGTACTTTTTCGAATGTTATTTTATTTTTGTATTAATAATCATTTGAGAGTATTTTTTTGTATGTGTAATTATAAATTACAAATGTTTTTGTTGCAATTTAATAAAAGAAGTTTTTCAAATGTGACGCCAAATTAAATTTTATGCTTAAATAATTTAATTTCTAATATTTATGTCGCATGGAGCCTCAACTGTTTTTCAAAATACTGAAACGATGTTAGTTAACAGCTATTTTTAATATATCAAATATTGGATTAAGTTTATCTTTTCTTAAAATCCAATCAAAAGAAAATGGTTTATGTACAGGCGATGATGAATTGGAAAATAGGCTATATGTAAATATAAATTCACATTATGTGGGTGCGGTGTGAAAGGTCATAATAAATATGGAAATGATTGTAAATTGGCTAATATTTTTACGATTGACTTTAAACACTAAACACCGTTTTCAAGATGTTTGTGCAACAAATCCCTTAGGTTTAATCATCATCATTGCTCTTTTCAGGGTATAATCCCATCCTCTCCAGCGAAACCATACTATGCCTAGGTAAATTAAAATATTTACAATTTTATTCTCTTCGCACATCTTTTAATTTAAGATCAATTTTACCTTGTCTNTGATATACATTGCAATAGATGGTCGTGCGATCTTTAAATTGACGACTTTGTTTATATTCATTTAGATTATATTACAAGTGTGATTCAAAATGTATATTCTTTTCAATCTGACAAAAACTAAATAAGTCATTCTAATTCAAAATAGTTGCTACACAATTTTTATCAATAAAAGATTTCTGTAGACAGTCTACCTATCCAATACTTACATTTATTTGTTATTGAAATTTACTCATTAATAAAGAACACGAATAAATAAACAATCACGTTAACCGACCGAAAAATTGCTATTAATTCTAGAATGGGGGTGGTAATCCTTGAGATCGAAATCTGAAAACACAAAGTCATCTATTTTGGCGACGTTCCTTTTAACATGTAAAGTGGGAAATGTCTTTGGAACCCTTCGAAGCTGGTCTTTCAAAGCTTCTATGTGATTTTGAAATATGTGACTGTCGCCAATCGTGTGTATAAATTCGCTGGGTTTTAAACCGGTCACATGAGCTATCATGACCGTTAGGAGAGCGTAACTCGCAATGTTGAACGGTACCCCCAGTCCCATATCGGCCGATCTTTGGTATAACAACGAAGACAATTCGTCATTATTTACGAAAAATTGTACGAGACAATGACAGGGTGGAAGAGCCATTTGTGGTATGTCCACAGGATTCCACGAACATAAGATTATCCTTCTATCATTCGGATAATTTTTGATTGTATTAATCACTTGACTCAATTGATCGATTCCTTCATTCGCGTAATTGGCTCGCATGCCTCTATACTCAGCTCCAAAATGACGCCACTGAAACCCATATATCGGACCCAAGTCTCCCTCTTCTCGGTCCCCAAACCCCATTCTATCCAAATACTCCCTCGAACTGTTGACATCCCATATTTTTACGTTTCTGGTAGAAAGTTCTTTGGCATTTGTGCTTCCTTTTATTAACCACAGCATCTCCTCGACTACGCCACGCCAAAAGACACGACGTGTCGTTAAAAGGGGGAAAGCGTTATTTTTAAGGGAAAAACGCATTTGAGTTCCAAATATTCCATATGTAACCACACCAGTTCTATCTGTTCTCTTAGTTCCTTTATTTATGATGTGACGGATTAAATTCAGATATTGGTATTCTTCATGATCTTGCTCTGGAGAAGTACCATCCCCGCCATTAGCACTTCCGTAGGTAGGGATCATTGTTTCATTTCTCTTGGCGCTGTTGTCCACGAGAATTTCGATCGTTATTTTTTCGCAAGATCTCGAGGATGGTACTTTGTACGTGATCGCTTTCGATTTATCGTCGCCCATTAATAAGTTGTAAATGTAAATTTCGGCAGTTGAAAAATAACCTACTTCCAAAATTTGACAAATCTGACAGCTTTTTTTGTATCGTCAAAGAAACAAAAAACGAATTATTAATTGTTAACCGAAACCCCCTCCCTTATAGTGTAAAATACGTGTGGGTTAAAGAAATAAACTTACCGTCCATCCTCCATCGGCGATCTCCTGTTCGCAGTAAACTTTTAGAAACCAGTAAGTCGTACCTCGTATTTGAAGATAGTACACACCGGAATCTTTCATGCCCCCGTTCAAGAAATCAACACAAGAATAGCCCTAAAACGAATATTTTATAAGCAAAATGAGTAACATTGAAAAAAATTTGTCATGAATTATTAAAGACGAACTTAAATATTATATTAATATCAAATAGTTTGTTAGTTTTGTTGACGGATGTTAAATTTATGAAAAATTCCTTAAAGGCAACATTAAAAAATCATAACGCAGTCATTAAGAAACTGCACGTGGCTTGTATACGTATACTTATTACATTACAATGTAATATAAGAACAATTACCACGAAATGCTAAAATGTTGATACGTATATATTGTAAAAAATTCAAGGGTACCAATAATGTTAGTTAACAGATAGTTAACAGATTTTCGTTGTTTAAAACCAGTTTAAAATCACTTTTTGTATTAACAACGAAATATTAGAAGTTTATTTAATGAAAACATTTCCAAATATATAAGTTAGCATATTCTAATTTTTGATAGGTACTTAGGTAACAAGTAATAATAGGATAAAGTTTTCACAAATAATATTTGAATCAGAAAAGTAACAAAGATGCTTTTGACTTTTTAGCGGAGTGAACGAAGATTTTCACTTCGGAAAAATTTGTAACCAGGTGGTGAACAACATTCTTCAAGTATGCTAGAACAATTTAAGAGCAAAAATATGTTTTTTTGGCAAATAACTGTTTAAGTTTTATTTGTACATAAAAATTGATAGTGCCATTCGAAAGAAATGGAAATTTTACGAAAGAAATATTTATGATATGTATTTTGCGTATTAAAATGGAGTGAGTAGGAAATATAGACATTTAGACTTAGTATTTTTCCGAAAACAAAGGTGACTAACACCAAATTTCAATCGTCAATATCAATGCTTAATATCGCGACATCAGCAGTTTATAAGTTATCAATTTGAATGTGAAGATGGGTACTAAAGCCCCAGTGATTTATTTTATGATACATGCCCATTTTTATATTATTATTTTTTTATTCTAAACTCTCGCAATCGTGTTTTTACCGATTTTCGCCTTTTTCTCTTTGACTGTTATTACATTAAAAAGAAAAAAAAAAATAAAACCAAGAAATGTTTTTCAAGATTAGTATCTGAGCTAACACAATTTTAATGCATTTAAATAAAAATAAATAATATTTTACTTTTGTCTTAATCACTTTGATCAGATTCTGGTGTGAAGTACGTGGTTTTTCTGATTCGTACGTCTAATAATCTAGGAAATAAAATCACAATGTAACTGTTAATTTCTATCCTTTAAACATTTTTTATGAAACATTTATCAAACACGCTGTATGTAAAATATATATACTTATTGTATAAACAATAGGCAACAAATATAAACTTACTCTAACATCTTTAATGTTGGTAATCATGTCGGTTGTGAATGTAGTATTCGGGGGCGAGGGTTTGTTTTTGACGCTAGGGAAAATTATTCCTCCTTTTCGCTTTTCCGATCGTTTTTCCGAACTGGTCGATGTGGCCTGTTGTGCAGGTGACGCTATTGAGCTATACATTGTTTGATTTATTATTAACAAAGTAGAAGGGGAGGGAGTTGGCGATAGGGAAGGTGGCAAAGTTGTAAACGTTGCAATCGGTGTAGTCGTTTCTGTTAGCTAAAGAATAAAAAACAAAATTAATAACGGAAATATTCCTGCACCTAATAAACAAAGGCCTTTGTCGCGTTTTTTTTTTTTGATGGACAGAATGGTTTTTGTAGATAATTCAGAAAAAATCTTCGGATTTTCTATGCTCTCAAAAAGGAAAAAGTTTAATAGTGAACATAAACTACCACTTTTGTGGAAGTGAACTAAATAAAACATTAAAACCTCATAATTAAAAATTAGGTACTGAAGTGTGGATCAAATTTACTAAAAGACTGAAGAAACTTCATTGCTGCTGTGTCACCCTAATATACACCTACATATGCAAAAAAAAAAAACATTTCGTTGTACCTGATCGTGCGTATAGTCTTCACTAGTATATCTACTGGCATCGAACTCAACTAATCTGTCTATTGTAGGATCCAAAAGAAGTTCAGCTGGAACGGGCCGCTGAGCTAAAGTTGCGACGTTATCTTCTTGTTTTTTTAATCTCCTTTCGACCATATCTAAATTTTGTATAATCTTATTCGTTTTAACACGTAGGTCGTTATGTATTTCACCAATGGCTCTTTCTTGCCTTTGCGTATGGATTAATAGTTCTCCAGTTTTCGGCAGAAGATTATCTACTGAACTCTTGGTTCCGGTCACTACGTCCCACACTTCGTCCATCTTTTCTGAAACAGTCATGATGGGACGCATCTGTTTAACCAATGCGTCAATTTTACTATTTCTAACTATCGATGGAGGAGGTGTAGTGGGCATCGTGGTTGTTGTTTTATTGTTCCAAAATATTCCTCCTCCTGCATCGTTAGCTTCTTCCGGTTCAACAACTGCCTCGTGAACTTCCGACATCATTCTTACCACTTTTCCAAGATTATCGGAAACCAAATTTATGTGAAATTGAAGCTTTCTGTCGACATTGGTGGTAACCGTTCGTAACTGGTTGAGCTCTTTACTTATGTGATTCATCACTTCGCTGTTTAGAGCTTTTGTTATTTCCACGACATTCATGCTGACCGGTTTTTTTTCACTTGCCTCTGCATTTATATCTTCCCCTGGAAGATTATTGTTGTCCAGTTGATTTTTTAAATTGTTAAGTTTCCTGTCGATTTTTTCGACTTTTATATCCAACGAGATTAGGCGATCGTTTAGTTTTTCTTTGTTTTCGTCAGATCGAAGTGAAAAAGGTCTCGGTTCATCATTAGCGGAAGGACTTTGAAATAGTTTTATATCTAGATTACCGAGTTTGGCAATTATCGATTCGGTTTTGCCTATATTATCGTTTACTCGCGAATCCAATCCTTCGACTCGTCTCATTAGATGTTCAACAGCTTTATCCAAGTTTTCTATCCTTTGTAATTTCGATTCTAATGTGGATATTATTGCTTCGAATACTGAGAACAGATATTCTTCCCTAGATAAAAAAATATGTACAAATATATTAGAAACAAACGACATATTTTCAATTACTATGTAATCTACTGATTAAATTAATTGCGGTTTTTGAGACAATCATTTAAAGAAATAAAATCAAGACCAACTTTAAAAAGTACTAAAATAGTGCATAAAAATAGTTAATTAATATTTTGTATTCAAAAAGACCACGTAGCAATTTCTTGAAAAGACACAAACTCAGAGTTAAGGTCTCCGACGAAAATGAGGAACAAAAAACAAAATGTACCCGAAATTTTTGGGTCAGCCACTAAATGCACTGGACTTGGGCTTTTTTCTTTTATTATGCCGACTGATTATAACTAATCTAAAAGTGCGAAACTGGACTGCACTTTCGCGATTTAGAAACAATGTAGCCGGGTTTGTAAAGCTTACCTATGCTGGCGCGATAATTTGACCCAGTTTAGTTAAAGAGATCGGCGTGAAGGTTTTAATTTTAATAACAGGAAAATGTGCTTAATGTATCTTCGTAGCATTTGTTTTATTTGCATTACTGGTTGACAAATTTAACGCTTAGATACTCATAATACTCCATATACATATATATTTCAATATTTACATGGTTCTTATTAATTTATATACATAGGATTAAAGTGTAAAATAGTAATAATTTATTTCCGTAGGTACTTGACTTCTTAGGCATTTTGGCTGCATTTTGATTTTCCAATACATGCTTTTTGAAATCAGTATTTTTTAAGCCTGTACATGAAAATTTTATTGTAGATGATGAAAAAATTATTTCGTAAAAATTTGAGCATTCAATTTTAATTTTACTATTCAACTTCCCACATATTTAATGCTAATTATTCTTTTAAATTACGATAAAATAGAAATTGCATATTTTATTGCAATAAAGTGGTATATCAATGGGTGAATAAAATATCTACCGCTATAAATTCTTATATGTATCAGAAAAAGTTGATTTCAAAAGAGCAGCGTCACACATTGAAGCTAATTTGTGCATATTTTCTGAATTACACGTTTAAATTTTTTTATTGCTGTCCGATACTTTGCGAAAGTTTCAACAAAACTGAAAAGACCTTTATATGTATAATATACGCGTATTGCGATAAATAGTATACATATTTTATAGAAAGTATAGATCGAGAAATCTTAGAGCGTGTATGTACATAGAACTGATCATTTTCGTCCCCTGTCTGTATACAATATGCACGTACATACACTATTTTGATAAATGCTACAAAAAAGTACCATTGTATTGGTTGCACTGAAATGTGGAACTCTGTCCGATTTTGTTTGTTGCTGAAAGTAGCCTTGGTTGTGATTAATGAATGCGAATGGGTTGTTACGTAAGAGGCGGCAGCGGTACAGATCAGGCAAAAAAAAACATAATTATTATCCTTCAGCGTATCTCTAGCAAGCTTCGAATTCGAGCGACTTAGGTAGAGATAGAATATACTGCGGCTGACGCGAAACAGTTGACTTTCCGTTCGTTTCCTATTTTTTGTTTTTCGCGCTGCTCTTCCGTAAAAATATTAATTTAGGAACTTCTACCTAGGTATATTTACGCACATACATAAATAATCTCCACGCCGATAACATTTTCTTCGATATTTTAATCTACTGTTTTAAAAACTGTCGGTTTCCTGACTCGAAACAATTAGTTCAACAAATTGTTTGATTCAAAAAATTATTTAAACATATTCTACGATATATTGTTGTCACTTATAAAGCGCTGATCTCAGACCCATATTTATTTTACAACTAGATCTCTACGTCTGTAATTGTCAATTATTTAATTTCACCTATCTGTAGCAGTAGGTGTGCAACTTTACTATTACAGCTACGTATTTACGTTTTGATTACATTTTATATTTATAATTGTATTTAGAATGTTATAATCTTTTAAAAGACTCCCTTTTTGCATGGCTATAAAACCGAATGCAAGTTTTGTAAAATAAATTATTGATTGATCTATGAAGGTACACATCTTTCGATTTAATTAGATTCGGATTTTGCGTCGAAAAATATTGAGAGCATCGCAATTACTCTGCTATAACTCATGACCTGCTTTTCTGATATACATTAATACCCTTATCTCAGAAAGCAAACATATTATCTTCTTATAATTTTGTATTCAACTTGCTCTCGTCATTAATAATCATTTAGCAGTTATATTCAAGTTATATATAAACAAAATTTGAGGGCGAGAAAATGGGCGACTAATGCGGTCATTCTTTATATCAATTTCTAAATTTTGTATGATGATGGTATTTAATCTTAATCTTAATCTTAAATAAGCCGGTCTTTTACCATTTCATCATTATTTACTTTGCTATATTTTCACGTAGATACTAGATTGACCTTACACTTTGGAATTCAACTTCATTTTTAATAAGCAAATGGTCGAATGCAATTTTTTCAGCCCATCCTTAAATAAAATCTTAGTTATATTCTTGCTTATATGCGATATATTATGCAAGTATACCTAAATAGCGTATTCTTTGTTTACTAAAATTTTCCAGAAAACGACGATTACTAGCAATAGCAATGACTCTTTTAATTGTTAACAATAAAATTACTCCTCTTGTGTCAGCATTCATTGTTTAGCTTGTTTTATGAGATCAAGGCTTAGAGTACAATAAATTATTAGCGACAAAAGTTTCTTTGTTTACTGCTCGCAGTTTTCCCGGCCTGCATATATCTATTACTAGCTTTTCCCCGCGGCTTCGCTCGCAGAAATTCATATTGTTTCTCCATAAAACATTTNAATGTGACGCCAAATTAAATTTTATGCTTAAATAATTTAATTTCTAATATTTATGTCGCATGGAGCCTCAACTGTTTTTCAAAATACTGAAACGATGTTAGTTAACAGCTATTTTTAATATATCAAATATTGGATTAAGTTTATCTTTTCTTAAAATCCAATCAAAAGAAAATGGTTTATGTACAGGCGATGATGAATTGGAAAATAGGCTATATGTAAATATAAATTCACATTATGTGGGTGCGGTGTGAAAGGTCATAATAAATATGGAAATGATTGTAAATTGGCTAATATTTTTACGATTGACTTTAAACACTAAACACCGTTTTCAAGATGTTTGTGCAACAAATCCCTTAGGTTTAATCATCATCATTGCTCTTTTCAGGGTATAATCCCATCCTCTCCAGCGAAACCATACTATGCCTAGGTAAATTAAAATATTTACAATTTTATTCTCTTCGCACATCTTTTAATTTAAGATCAATTTTACCTTGTCTTGCTGTTAGATCTTGTGGATCGTTTAGGTATAGTCCATTTAAACCTCGTCCGCATGATTTCCACCACCAACCGCCTTTTAACATCGATGCACAATTTAAACTTGACCGATCATTATCTCTAAAAAAAGAAACAAGGTAAATGTGTTATTCGTTCAATTTTATAAAATTTATTATTAAAAGGTTAAAGAGCTACGGTTGATAAGGTGTATTTTTGGCCCTTTAGTACATCTACAGTAATAAAAACGTTTCTTTAGAACAGTTTGCTATAATTTTGCCATTTTATTAATTATCATTACTTTTGTATATTTCTAAAACGGAACGTGAAAGAAAAAATTATTGACTGAAAATGCGCCGTGTCAACCTTAGTTCGTTTACTGATAAACATATATTTTTTATAACGATCTTGTGTTAGCTATATGATACATATGTACCTATTGTATGTTGAAAAAGGGCTATGATTACTTCCGTACCAAGGATCATTGAGGGAATCCCCTGCGTTACCTTCGTATCCATCTATTTCTAGCTTATAATATTCTGATTCGGAATATATTTTGAAATGAGAATACTGAGCGTACCTAAAATTTGAAATAATTTTTATAACATTTCATCTTTACGCGCCATTGTGAATTTCTTATTAAGTCCTCTACCTTTTATTTCCTTCAAAATCTTCTAATTCTACTCGCAGTATATATTCTTCATTGTTAGTTAACATAAATATGTTTTCGTTTCCCAACCAAAATTCTTTAGCTGGATCTCCAAAGCCGTTTTTATAATCATTCCAATCTCTATTAAAATTTTCCCGTGGATCACCAAAATCATCTCTTCGTTGAATTACCTTAAACGATAACTATTATTAATGATCATTGGGAGTTGATTAAGATACAAGTTCACAAGGTTGATAACATAGTAGTGAACAATTAACAATTAAACTTAAACTTATACCTTGGTTAATTCAATAAAAATATCGCCATAAATATTTATTAAAATTTAAAGTGTTAAAATGATCCAACCAATTATTTCATCAGGTACTAACGAACTGATTAATATGGCACTTTATAAGGAAACGTTTGCTTTTACCGTTTATATATTTTTTTATATTAGGTACACTTATACATAAGAAACAAGCAATGCCTGTGAGAAATTTAATTATCCTGTTTGTAAAAGTAGAATTTGGAGACAGTGGTAATTGACGACTAACTCAAAAACGAGAGAGACTCGCCCCAAAATACCGCTATAATTTTGATAACTTGACTTGACTTGTTTTGACTGTTTGGTATTGAACGTATTCAAGTTTTCTTACAAGCCTTTTTTTCCGTCTATCTTTTTTTTTTCATTCGGATGTATAAATTTGGTATTTGGAATTATTAAGAGCACCCCTTTTTAACATTCATATAAATAGTCATAATTTTCAATTTAGAAGTGGCCTTTAGTTATTCATAAGTGTATATTTAATGTGCCCGTAATCCTCAAACAAAAAGAATTTTTTGGCACAAAAATTAAACCATCATTAATTAAATAAAAATCCTTGAACGCTAACCTATTAGTAGCAGCCGATAGTCCTAAAATTTCCATTTTGAAATATTGTGAATGGATATGTTAGATGTTTGTTAGTTTTTTTTTACAAAATACCGTGACCAAAATTTATAATTAATATTTGTCCAACTGCATAATAAACTTCATTTCTACCGAGTGTTCACGATACCACATAGCTTTTTCGCGTAGTGTCTCACAATGTTTAGTATCGCCAGCACTGCGATTAATAGTTATCATATTCTTCACTAAAGTTAAGGTTTGCCTAAATGCAGTTACGACATTGATATACATTGCAATAGATGGTCGTGCGATCTTTAAATTGACGACTTTGTTTATATTCATTTAGATTATATTACAAGTGTGATTCAAAATGTATATTCTTTTCAATCTGACAAAAACTAAATAAGTCATTCTAATTCAAAATAGTTGCTACACAATTTTTATCAATAAAAGATTTCTGTAGACAGTCTACCTATCCAATACTTACATTTATTTGTTATTGAAATTTACTCATTAATAAAGAACACGAATAAATAAACAATCACGTTAACCGACCGAAAAATTGCTATTAATTCTAGAATGGGGGTGGTAATCCTTGAGATCGAAATCTGAAAACACAAAGTCATCTATTTTGGCGACGTTCCTTTTAACATGTAAAGTGGGAAATGTCTTTGGAACCCTTCGAAGCTGGTCTTTCAAAGCTTCTATGTGATTTTGAAATATGTGACTGTCGCCAATCGTGTGTATAAATTCGCTGGGTTTTAAACCGGTCACATGAGCTATCATGACCGTTAGGAGAGCGTAACTCGCAATGTTGAACGGTACCCCCAGTCCCATATCGGCCGATCTTTGGTATAACAACGAAGACAATTCGTCATTATTTACGAAAAATTGTACGAGACAATGACAGGGTGGAAGAGCCATTTGTGGTATGTCCACAGGATTCCACGAACATAAGATTATCCTTCTATCATTCGGATAATTTTTGATTGTATTAATCACTTGACTCAATTGATCGATTCCTTCATTCGCGTAATTGGCTCGCATGCCTCTATACTCAGCTCCAAAATGACGCCACTGAAACCCATATATCGGACCCAAGTCTCCCTCTTCTCGGTCCCCAAACCCCATTCTATCCAAATACTCCCTCGAACTGTTGACATCCCATATTTTTACGTTTCTGGTAGAAAGTTCTTTGGCATTTGTGCTTCCTTTTATTAACCACAGCATCTCCTCGACTACGCCACGCCAAAAGACACGACGTGTCGTTAAAAGGGGGAAAGCGTTATTTTTAAGGGAAAAACGCATTTGAGTTCCAAATATTCCATATGTAACCACACCAGTTCTATCTGTTCTCTTAGTTCCTTTATTTATGATGTGACGGATTAAATTCAGATATTGGTATTCTTCATGATCTTGCTCTGGAGAAGTACCATCCCCGCCATTAGCACTTCCGTAGGTAGGGATCATTGTTTCATTTCTCTTGGCGCTGTTGTCCACGAGAATTTCGATCGTTATTTTTTCGCAAGATCTCGAGGATGGTACTTTGTACGTGATCGCTTTCGATTTATCGTCGCCCATTAATAAGTTGTAAATGTAAATTTCGGCAGTTGAAAAATAACCTACTTCCAAAATTTGACAAATCTGACAGCTTTTTTTGTATCGTCAAAGAAACAAAAAACGAATTATTAATTGTTAACCGAAACCCCCTCCCTTATAGTGTAAAATACGTGTGGGTTAAAGAAATAAACTTACCGTCCATCCTCCATCGGCGATCTCCTGTTCGCAGTAAACTTTTAGAAACCAGTAAGTCGTACCTCGTATTTGAAGATAGTACACACCGGAATCTTTCATGCCCCCGTTCAAGAAATCAACACAAGAATAGCCCTAAAACGAATATTTTATAAGCAAAATGAGTAACATTGAAAAAAATTTGTCATGAATTATTAAAGACGAACTTAAATATTATATTAATATCAAATAGTTTGTTAGTTTTGTTGACGGATGTTAAATTTATGAAAAATTCCTTAAAGGCAACATTAAAAAATCATAACGCAGTCATTAAGAAACTGCACGTGGCTTGTATACGTATACTTATTACATTACAATGTAATATAAGAACAATTACCACGAAATGCTAAAATGTTGATACGTATATATTGTAAAAAATTCAAGGGTACCAATAATGTTAGTTAACAGATAGTTAACAGATTTTCGTTGTTTAAAACCAGTTTAAAATCACTTTTTGTATTAACAACGAAATATTAGAAGTTTATTTAATGAAAACATTTCCAAATATATAAGTTAGCATATTCTAATTTTTGATAGGTACTTAGGTAACAAGTAATAATAGGATAAAGTTTTCACAAATAATATTTGAATCAGAAAAGTAACAAAGATGCTTTTGACTTTTTAGCGGAGTGAACGAAGATTTTCACTTCGGAAAAATTTGTAACCAGGTGGTGAACAACATTCTTCAAGTATGCTAGAACAATTTAAGAGCAAAAATATGTTTTTTTGGCAAATAACTGTTTAAGTTTTATTTGTACATAAAAATTGATAGTGCCATTCGAAAGAAATGGAAATTTTACGAAAGAAATATTTATGATATGTATTTTGCGTATTAAAATGGAGTGAGTAGGAAATATAGACATTTAGACTTAGTATTTTTCCGAAAACAAAGGTGACTAACACCAAATTTCAATCGTCAATATCAATGCTTAATATCGCGACATCAGCAGTTTATAAGTTATCAATTTGAATGTGAAGATGGGTACTAAAGCCCCAGTGATTTATTTTATGATACATGCCCATTTTTATATTATTATTTTTTTATTCTAAACTCTCGCAATCGTGTTTTTACCGATTTTCGCCTTTTTCTCTTTGACTGTTATTACATTAAAAAGAAAAAAAAAAATAAAACCAAGAAATGTTTTTCAAGATTAGTATCTGAGCTAACACAATTTTAATGCATTTAAATAAAAATAAATAATATTTTACTTTTGTCTTAATCACTTTGATCAGATTCTGGTGTGAAGTACGTGGTTTTTCTGATTCGTACGTCTAATAATCTAGGAAATAAAATCACAATGTAACTGTTAATTTCTATCCTTTAAACATTTTTTATGAAACATTTATCAAACACGCTGTATGTAAAATATATATACTTATTGTATAAACAATAGGCAACAAATATAAACTTACTCTAACATCTTTAATGTTGGTAATCATGTCGGTTGTGAATGTAGTATTCGGGGGCGAGGGTTTGTTTTTGACGCTAGGGAAAATTATTCCTCCTTTTCGCTTTTCCGATCGTTTTTCCGAACTGGTCGATGTGGCCTGTTGTGCAGGTGACGCTATTGAGCTATACATTGTTTGATTTATTATTAACAAAGTAGAAGGGGAGGGAGTTGGCGATAGGGAAGGTGGCAAAGTTGTAAACGTTGCAATCGGTGTAGTCGTTTCTGTTAGCTAAAGAATAAAAAACAAAATTAATAACGGAAATATTCCTGCACCTAATAAACAAAGGCCTTTGTCGCGTTTTTTTTTTTTGATGGACAGAATGGTTTTTGTAGATAATTCAGAAAAAATCTTCGGATTTTCTATGCTCTCAAAAAGGAAAAAGTTTAATAGTGAACATAAACTACCACTTTTGTGGAAGTGAACTAAATAAAACATTAAAACCTCATAATTAAAAATTAGGTACTGAAGTGTGGATCAAATTTACTAAAAGACTGAAGAAACTTCATTGCTGCTGTGTCACCCTAATATACACCTACATATGCAAAAAAAAAAAACATTTCGTTGTACCTGATCGTGCGTATAGTCTTCACTAGTATATCTACTGGCATCGAACTCAACTAATCTGTCTATTGTAGGATCCAAAAGAAGTTCAGCTGGAACGGGCCGCTGAGCTAAAGTTGCGACGTTATCTTCTTGTTTTTTTAATCTCCTTTCGACCATATCTAAATTTTGTATAATCTTATTCGTTTTAACACGTAGGTCGTTATGTATTTCACCAATGGCTCTTTCTTGCCTTTGCGTATGGATTAATAGTTCTCCAGTTTTCGGCAGAAGATTATCTACTGAACTCTTGGTTCCGGTCACTACGTCCCACACTTCGTCCATCTTTTCTGAAACAGTCATGATGGGACGCATCTGTTTAACCAATGCGTCAATTTTACTATTTCTAACTATCGATGGAGGAGGTGTAGTGGGCATCGTGGTTGTTGTTTTATTGTTCCAAAATATTCCTCCTCCTGCATCGTTAGCTTCTTCCGGTTCAACAACTGCCTCGTGAACTTCCGACATCATTCTTACCACTTTTCCAAGATTATCGGAAACCAAATTTATGTGAAATTGAAGCTTTCTGTCGACATTGGTGGTAACCGTTCGTAACTGGTTGAGCTCTTTACTTATGTGATTCATCACTTCGCTGTTTAGAGCTTTTGTTATTTCCACGACATTCATGCTGACCGGTTTTTTTTCACTTGCCTCTGCATTTATATCTTCCCCTGGAAGATTATTGTTGTCCAGTTGATTTTTTAAATTGTTAAGTTTCCTGTCGATTTTTTCGACTTTTATATCCAACGAGATTAGGCGATCGTTTAGTTTTTCTTTGTTTTCGTCAGATCGAAGTGAAAAAGGTCTCGGTTCATCATTAGCGGAAGGACTTTGAAATAGTTTTATATCTAGATTACCGAGTTTGGCAATTATCGATTCGGTTTTGCCTATATTATCGTTTACTCGCGAATCCAATCCTTCGACTCGTCTCATTAGATGTTCAACAGCTTTATCCAAGTTTTCTATCCTTTGTAATTTCGATTCTAATGTGGATATTATTGCTTCGAATACTGAGAACAGATATTCTTCCCTAGATAAAAAAATATGTACAAATATATTAGAAACAAACGACATATTTTCAATTACTATGTAATCTACTGATTAAATTAATTGCGGTTTTTGAGACAATCATTTAAAGAAATAAAATCAAGACCAACTTTAAAAAGTACTAAAATAGTGCATAAAAATAGTTAATTAATATTTTGTATTCAAAAAGACCACGTAGCAATTTCTTGAAAAGACACAAACTCAGAGTTAAGGTCTCCGACGAAAATGAGGAACAAAAAACAAAATGTACCCGAAATTTTTGGGTCAGCCACTAAATGCACTGGACTTGGGCTTTTTTCTTTTATTATGCCGACTGATTATAACTAATCTAAAAGTGCGAAACTGGACTGCACTTTCGCGATTTAGAAACAATGTAGCCGGGTTTGTAAAGCTTACCTATGCTGGCGCGATAATTTGACCCAGTTTAGTTAAAGAGATCGGCGTGAAGGTTTTAATTTTAATAACAGGAAAATGTGCTTAATGTATCTTCGTAGCATTTGTTTTATTTGCATTACTGGTTGACAAATTTAACGCTTAGATACTCATAATACTCCATATACATATATATTTCAATATTTACATGGTTCTTATTAATTTATATACATAGGATTAAAGTGTAAAATAGTAATAATTTATTTCCGTAGGTACTTGACTTCTTAGGCATTTTGGCTGCATTTTGATTTTCCAATACATGCTTTTTGAAATCAGTATTTTTTAAGCCTGTACATGAAAATTTTATTGTAGATGATGAAAAAATTATTTCGTAAAAATTTGAGCATTCAATTTTAATTTTACTATTCAACTTCCCACATATTTAATGCTAATTATTCTTTTAAATTACGATAAAATAGAAATTGCATATTTTATTGCAATAAAGTGGTATATCAATGGGTGAATAAAATATCTACCGCTATAAATTCTTATATGTATCAGAAAAAGTTGATTTCAAAAGAGCAGCGTCACACATTGAAGCTAATTTGTGCATATTTTCTGAATTACACGTTTAAATTTTTTTATTGCTGTCCGATACTTTGCGAAAGTTTCAACAAAACTGAAAAGACCTTTATATGTATAATATACGCGTATTGCGATAAATAGTATACATATTTTATAGAAAGTATAGATCGAGAAATCTTAGAGCGTGTATGTACATAGAACTGATCATTTTCGTCCCCTGTCTGTATACAATATGCACGTACATACACTATTTTGATAAATGCTACAAAAAAGTACCATTGTATTGGTTGCACTGAAATGTGGAACTCTGTCCGATTTTGTTTGTTGCTGAAAGTAGCCTTGGTTGTGATTAATGAATGCGAATGGGTTGTTACGTAAGAGGCGGCAGCGGTACAGATCAGGCAAAAAAAAACATAATTATTATCCTTCAGCGTATCTCTAGCAAGCTTCGAATTCGAGCGACTTAGGTAGAGATAGAATATACTGCGGCTGACGCGAAACAGTTGACTTTCCGTTCGTTTCCTATTTTTTGTTTTTCGCGCTGCTCTTCCGTAAAAATATTAATTTAGGAACTTCTACCTAGGTATATTTACGCACATACATAAATAATCTCCACGCCGATAACATTTTCTTCGATATTTTAATCTACTGTTTTAAAAACTGTCGGTTTCCTGACTCGAAACAATTAGTTCAACAAATTGTTTGATTCAAAAAATTATTTAAACATATTCTACGATATATTGTTGTCACTTATAAAGCGCTGATCTCAGACCCATATTTATTTTACAACTAGATCTCTACGTCTGTAATTGTCAATTATTTAATTTCACCTATCTGTAGCAGTAGGTGTGCAACTTTACTATTACAGCTACGTATTTACGTTTTGATTACATTTTATATTTATAATTGTATTTAGAATGTTATAATCTTTTAAAAGACTCCCTTTTTGCATGGCTATAAAACCGAATGCAAGTTTTGTAAAATAAATTATTGATTGATCTATGAAGGTACACATCTTTCGATTTAATTAGATTCGGATTTTGCGTCGAAAAATATTGAGAGCATCGCAATTACTCTGCTATAACTCATGACCTGCTTTTCTGATATACATTAATACCCTTATCTCAGAAAGCAAACATATTATCTTCTTATAATTTTGTATTCAACTTGCTCTCGTCATTAATAATCATTTAGCAGTTATATTCAAGTTATATATAAACAAAATTTGAGGGCGAGAAAATGGGCGACTAATGCGGTCATTCTTTATATCAATTTCTAAATTTTGTATGATGATGGTATTTAATCTTAATCTTAATCTTAAATAAGCCGGTCTTTTACCATTTCATCATTATTTACTTTGCTATATTTTCACGTAGATACTAGATTGACCTTACACTTTGGAATTCAACTTCATTTTTAATAAGCAAATGGTCGAATGCAATTTTTTCAGCCCATCCTTAAATAAAATCTTAGTTATATTCTTGCTTATATGCGATATATTATGCAAGTATACCTAAATAGCGTATTCTTTGTTTACTAAAATTTTCCAGAAAACGACGATTACTAGCAATAGCAATGACTCTTTTAATTGTTAACAATAAAATTACTCCTCTTGTGTCAGCATTCATTGTTTAGCTTGTTTTATGAGATCAAGGCTTAGAGTACAATAAATTATTAGCGACAAAAGTTTCTTTGTTTACTGCTCGCAGTTTTCCCGGCCTGCATATATCTATTACTAGCTTTTCCCCGCGGCTTCGCTCGCAGAAATTCATATTGTTTCTCCATAAAACATTTGAAAATCATATTCTATTTCTATATCCTACTAATTTCTTTAAAGGAAATTGATAGACCTTGCAAAGTGACAGTAGAACAAAGTAAATGATGTTCTCACTTATTACACAGAATTATTTTTTTTTGTTAGAAAGAGCCATTGTTAAGAAGCACCTAAGTATAACAAAAATTATCCACGATTCTGTAGTATTGTATGATAATTTTTGTTTTTAGTAAAATAAACATTTCATATTCATTAAACAATGCGTTAATAATCATTTTATCTACGTTGGTTATTGTGTAGTAAGTACGTACCATCTTGACTCACATTTGAGCTTAATATACATATTTATGCATAGATGTGTAAACAATAAGTAATATATATTTCCAATTTTAACAACAAGCTCACAATAATTATCCATAAAACAAACGTTTCTTTTTTACGCTTCGAAAATTTCCTTTTTTTCGACACGGAACCACGAGTAATAATTTTGAAGGTGAATCGTCATCATCGTAAGGTCTTCAACAGTAAACTGGTGGGACACGCACTTCCATTTCTTCCTATCAAGCAACTATTTGCGAACAGTAATCTGACCCTCTTGAGTCCTGTTTCTGCTTCTAACAAGTCTAACTAGCCATTCATGTATGAGATTGTCCTATCAACCTGTCTCGTCTATTTCGTCTATTTCCTATTAACTTCTATAACGCCCTTTGTTGGATACGCACCTCCACTCATTTCTATCCTGAGTTAATCTTCGGATTTCCATAAAACTAGAACGTCCTACATCCTTAACTGTTTGCCAACAGTAATCTAATCTATCTTGGCCGCTTTTTTTTATTGATTCATTGACCACCACAACAGAATCCTACTAATTTCCATAATGATCTATTAAGTAGTTTCATTTTTACAGAGAATCTTCTACGAATAGTACTCGCCTGCTACATATTTTCGTGATTTTCCAGCAGTTTGTCAACGTTAAACGGCGCCAAGCGATGCATTTTTTTATTTGCTTATTACACTTCCGTTTTACAATTTTTGTAATAGAAATTTTAATAGATACATCGGTACATATATGTATATATACCTTGCGTATAATGCTTCAAATTAATCCGCTGCAATGGTATTAATTTATAGGTACTTATGCTCCTATATTAGTAAAACAGTGTAAGAAACACTTGGTGTTCAAAAGTATTATAAAATGACTTGCCGAACGCTTATTTAAATAAAGGTGCGTGTAACATTGTTATGCAAATTATATTTTCACATGTCAACAAGCTAAGGTTACCTACTTAACCATTTGGTTATTTCTTTTGAGAAAAAAGGCAACGTTCTGTGTCAGATTCGAAATAATATTGTATGTAGCTTATAGTAATACTGTACCCACCAGGTTGTATATGTATAATCTTATAGCACGTATAAATACGCGCATACTTTATTTTTGATCGTAGGAAACATTGTATCTGCAGGTACTTATTTTATTAATAATCAAAATTTGTGTGTAAATCTATTTGAATAAAAATTACTATACACCTACTAAATTACATAAATGACAAACTACAATACGAACCGTTAATTTCGAAATTCAAAAAAGATTGTTAAAGGTGTGGGTTTGGAATACGACGTTGTACGGGTTCAAAACGTGGATGGTGGTTACGGCGGAAATGAAAAGGTTAGAATCGTTCGAAATGTGGTGTTGCAGGCGAATGATGAGGATACCGTGGATAGAGAAGGTTAGAAATGAGGAGGTACTGGAAAGAATAGGAGAACGAGGGCACTATGGAAGTCAATAAGAAACAGATGACATAGGTTGGTAGGACACTTTCCTCAGGCATGAAGGGCTAGTCATAGACATATTAGAGGCAGAAGTAACAGCTAAGAGGAGTAGTGTTTTAAGGAAATGTGAAGATCAGTTCAGGATTCGAAAGAGTGGAGGTGCGTATCCAACCAGTTTTAGGATTGACGACTTATGATGATGATGAAATAGACTTTAAGCTAATGAGGACAGAGGACAATAACAATATATGTAATAGTGTTAACGTATTATCTAATTTCATGTATATTAGCCTGTTTAGTGATTAAGATTTACTCCTCACTTTTTGCTTTGTTTGTGAACCTATCATTTTCCTAATCGTGAAGATTGAGCGGTTCTATTTCTTTCCAAGTTTCTAACGATTTTATTTTAATCCCACTGTATGTAGGCATATTACTGTAAAAATAGTGGCCTGTACGTTAATCTAATTTCCGATAGCGTGCTTCATTATAACTTTTCACATAACGTACACATTTACACTGTCTACATGCTATTATCATAATAGGACAATAAGTATATCCTTGATTTATTAAAGTACCTTTTTGCATTCACTTTCTATTTCACCGGAGGGTACAAAAACAATAAACCTCCTGCTGCTCACCAATAGTTTCAATATCAAGACGTACCAATACGGTTTCATATTTACCGACGGCGACGTGACAATCAAAGGTGTATAGTAATGTTGATAAGTACCAATATATATCTACGTATTTACGTTTTGAATAATAATAAGTGTAATTTAACTGGTCTAATTATCAATCTCGTCAAAAAGAAAAAAAGGATCACCAAGAATGAAGGAATCGTTTGCACGATATAGCCTGTGCTTTGTACGAATCAATTCAAAAAGTAACGGCGCATGAACTCATTCTAGTAATGTTCTCACTTATTTGTTTGTTATTTGGAAACAACATAAAATGAATGAACGACTAGAGTTTTTAAAAATTGACCTTCAGTTTTTAAAACTAATTGATAACAGTGGTGGTTATTGATTAGATCAAGTCTAATGAACCGTCTCGTTCCATTTTGGAAAAAATGCATTTCTGGATGATGAGAGAACTAACAATAATTGTATAAGACTTTGCAACAATTTATTCTTACGCAATCTAATGACAGTCCGAGTTTGTTCTAGCAGAACTAACAATAACTTCCCGACCGTTCAGCCATAGATCGAAAAATTTTTTATATGTATATACAACGAAACTTACTGGCGTCCATAAATAAAAAGAGATTGCGAATTTAAAGGAAACAGGCAAATGGGCAAGTGTAAGTGGTACATAGGTACATTACATACATTTATTGCTAGAGGTATTCGATACCTGTGCCTTAGCAAAATAAATGTGTATTACGACACCATCGTAGTCGCGGTCAACAGAAACGATATAAAGTATATGTACCTACATACATATATCTGAATACTTATGTATCAATGTACGTGTGTATATCATTGAGACATTCTCTTCATGCACGTAACCCGTTCGTTCTTTTCTTCTTTTCTTTTTTTTAATGATCAAAACAGTCCGGCAAATGGATATTTCAGCAGACACACCTTTCTTCTCATATCATGATGTAACATTATATTTTTAAATTCCCTCAAATAACTGTAACTATAACTACCATAATACATACCATGTGCGTACCTAATATTTGTAGAGATAGTTTTGATGAATTAATTGCTTAAAACGTCAAATGATGAAGGGAAATGGAGAGATTTCTTGTAGATAACGTGAATGCCGTTTATGATGATACTGTTTGTATATAAGGATAACATTTTATAATTTTCGCTGAGTTTGAATGTTAACAACTTGTGATCACGTACCATGTACAAACCTTCCTGTAATAAAAGTGTAATGCCTTCTTTTATAATGACAGCGTGCATACGACGTAAAAGAGTTGGGCCGATAAGGGTCGTTTTAAATCTTAACTGCATTTATTCAAATTGAAAAATATTCGTCTAAAGCTGAGCCGGTGGCCAGTTCGTGAGTGAAGGAAAATCGCCTAATTTGGGATGTTGGACTACCTCAAAACCAGTCAACAATTATTTCTAATTAAAATTGCAAAACGAAAAGGTCTGCAGCGTAAATAGGTGATAAGGGCAGCATGGGAATGCAGCCTAATTTATATTTGGCTTTAGTTTCTCTTCATACTTTCATCCTTAACTTACGTGATTCTCTTACTTTATGTACCAACCTGTTGTTGTTGTTGCTCGGTTCTGCTCTTACAGGTGTCTGTCCACTTTGAAGTGACGATTTCGCCGAACTCGTCCTTGCCTTCATCATCATTGTCCTGTTAAGTGCCATTTGGCTAGCACTCGTTTTGGGAAGTTGAGCTGAGAGAGATGACGAGCTTCTCACAGTCAATCCTATTACTATAGCCACGAGCAGGCACCACGCGGTACCCCTCATGGTCAATCCTGCTTCGACCTCAATAAAGGAGGGCTCTCGCTTATAAGTATCAAGTTATAAACCTACTAAAAAGAAAAATAGTAAATTATATATGTATCTACAAGAGTTTATTTTATGTTCATCTAACAAATAGAAATAAAATTAATTTAATTCGTTGAAACTAATTGACAAAAAGCGCTCTCACGGCACAAACATCATTAGCAGGAAATTATTTGTAAATAAGCTTGCCAAGTGTTACTAATTACGAGTAATACTCTGCCATTTGAATTTGTTTGGAGAAATTAAGTAAGCTGCTTGGAAGGTAATCTGTTCTACAAGTAGGCAATTTTTTCTTGCTGATACAAATCTAAATTTCTAATTAGTTCGGTTTCATCGACTACAAAAATAATTTCCACATTCTATCGTATAAAATACAAATATGAGGAAAATATCAGCACACATACATGTACATAGTAACGAAAAACGAATAGATATCACAACGTTTTTTAGGTATCAATTTTTGTTTTGTTTGTAATATACATTCACCTATAATAATTCCTTCATTAAAGCCAAACGAAATTAAATCTTCAACTCACAAAAAATAATTTGTTATGGAACTAGCGACCCGTCTCGGGTGTAGTGTACCTATATGACGGACGGGGGTCGTACAACCATAGAATATACAATGTTTAGGGTTGTTTTTTCATTAGACAGCAGAAACAGATTTTTGTACATAATTATGATGTATCTCGTAAAGTTTAACCAACGTTAGCAATGTAAGCGTCCAATTTTTTTTTAGTACTGTACTGTTTATACGTAGGCATTTTAAAATATTTACAGTTCCTTAATTAAAAACAAACGCGATTGGCAACATTTTGATCTTTGTAATAAACTGGTGGACTCCTGGGGGTCCATTAGGAGGAATGTTTTAAAATTTCCAGAAAATGTTTTTAAGCAGTTTCTAATTCCATCACTAAATAGGGAATAAAGTTTATATGAAGATGCATCAATTATTTTTTAAAGGTACGATTATGAATGTTTTTTCTACACTATTTGAATATAAGTAAGTACTAAAAAAAGGGTTTGAGTGATTTAAGGGTGGGTTTATAAAAACGAAATGACTAAATAGAATCGATAAAACAAACTTAAAGTGTTTAAACGATGTTTATTGTTTGGTCAAATTGTCACTATTGATAGTTTCAAAAAGAAATTGAATCTAATTGGAGAAAATACGAAACACGCATAGAAGTAATAAGACTGATATTTTTAGTCCTTAATTCCAACTTTAAGAATTACATTCTCTATATTTTGTTTTAAAGTTTTTTCTTTAGAAGTATTAACGGGAACTTGTTGGATTTATCGTTATTCAGCTTCAGCTTAGTCTACCACAAAGCTTTATAGTTCTTGTTTTACAAGGAATTTACTACTCTTCAAAAGTAGATTACTGCAGTAACTTGAACAACGTGATCTATTTTATATTAATATAATAGGCAATTTTGAACTATGTACGAAAAATATCATCTGACTAGTAAGGTAAGAGTAGGTCGAATCATTCAAAGTGTACCTACAGATTTTAGAGATTTGAGCTATACATTTGTAAGCCGTTCTTTATGTACAGAAAATTTGCTACAAAATTTATTTTTCTGTTCATTTTTGCTTAAGACATTGCGACAGAATGAAGTGTAACTGTTTGTTAGTGGTGATAAAACGAAAAAACCGTCAAATTTCGTATGCTTTTCGTAGAATTAAGGTTTAGCATTTTTTGAGAGTTCGGTTCCGATTTTTTCACACAATTTTATAACTGAAATGAAAATAACAAAAATGTTGGCTTGGAGCACACACAAGTGAACTAATTAGGTAATTTCAAATTCTGCTTTAAGTTGTGCATATAATTTTTGAAGTTTTACCGACACAGCAATCATTACGTGGCCATATTTCGCCTATACTGTTAATACATATTTCTTCAGGCGACGTTGTTGCTGTTAATTACTTTTAAAACTTCCAATGCAAGTCATGTCATTCCATAAATTGCTTGGATTATTTTGCATATATTAAATATTATTATAACAACTTATTCGTTTGAAGTGCTCATTACCGAAAACAAATGTGTTTGAAAATTAACAATTAGGTACATTGGTTATTTTTGTTTGATAGCTACTGTATAAGTGCTATATTCTAAGAAGTAATTATTCTTTATGAATACTACAACTTCCAATTTGTGTATGACATACCTAACAGGATTTGTTTTTGAAACATGTACAGTGTGTAGAAAACAGCGTCGTTTTCATTTTAAACTAGCTTTTACCCATGACTGTTCGCGCGAAAAAGTCCCATCGAAATCGGTTCAACCGCTTCCAGATAGACAAAAGGTATTAACCTAGATTGTTCTGAACAACCCCCTCTTCGTGTACATCTGCATATGTATAATGCTACATCGAAATCGGTTAAACAGCCGTTTCGAAGGTTAATCCGTATAGAGACAAAATCTATTTAAAGGTCGTTTGTGTCTGAATTTAAAAGGATTTTGTGTTTATTAATTACATGTCTACACTTGTGGGGTCGATAGTAGTACCGGATTCAAAGACGGGGAGGTAGGTGGGGCTGCAGCTTCAGCTATCAGGTCAGTTTTGCTATTAATATATGTTTAAACAATGATATATATACCTGTAATAAAGTGATTTTCTGCACTTTTTTGGTGTTATTATACGGGTACTATTCTTAAAAGGTCCCCGGAATGTTTTCGGCCGGTGACCTCATTTTCTTTCAATCCTTTAATCGAATAAATGAAGCTTTTAACATTTGTAACTAACTGCATGACAGTATCCGAAAAACTCCAGTTTCCAGTTACAATACTGTTTATTTTTATATTATTCTTCATACGTAAGAATTTAAATGTAAAAAATTCGTCTTTCCGACGTACCTAAAAAAAGCTTGTAGATCCGTATCAACGGGTTCTATAGAAAATATAACTATTATTAATAAGTAGTTATATTGTTACTATAAATTTCAAATGTATAAAATACCAGTAAGTTGGTTTTACGATTAATTGTTTAAATAACCAAATGACCGGTTAACGTTCAAACGCGACTAACTGAAACAAAATTGTTCCCTTCATAGAATTATGCGGTGGTTCTTTTTATTTACTCATTATGAAATCTGAAAACAATAAGAGATGGTTTTCAGAGAAACTTCCATCATCATCATAAGGTCGTCAGTCCTAAGACTGGTTGGACCCGCATCTCCACTCTTTCCTATCTTGCGCTAATCTTCGTATTTCCTCAAAGCTAGAGCAACCCATATCCTTAACTATTTGCGAACAGTAGTCTAATCTAGGTCTACCTTTACCCCTCCTAACTTCCCTTTCTGCCTCTAATATGTCTCTGAGTAGAAACTTCCAAAAGACATTTTTCTGTCCAAATGTGATTTATAACCGATTCTAGGAGTACAAGAACATAAATAATGAATAATGAACGCTCTAATGTATAATTTATACATGTAGCAGGGGAGGAGTATTAGCAGCAACGTGACGCTTCACTTATTAATGTAAGACAATGCGGTGCTTTTATTTAGCGGTATTTATCCAAGAAAGTTCCACTTCCTGTCCGGGGAGTACTGAAAAATAATATACGCACCAAGCCTAGGGGAGGAAATTAACATGCGATCTGAGGTATTCTTTGCGTATTAGGTGCATAATAGCGTAAGTAAGTACGTAATAATACCTATTGTCGTGGAATTCAAAGCATTTTCAGTTATATAAGACTTTATTGTAAGTACCTACTTTATTTTTATTGTTATTTTTACGGAACTAATAATATCTGGGTAATATGGGACTTAAAACCTACAACGGCGTAGCCCACCCAGCACCCTAACCAAGGCTACGCTTCTGAGGATTAGATACGTACCTCGGGTGAAATTTGCAGAGTATCCTTTAATTAAGTTCACTTCAGTAAATAACAAAAAAAAAAGTTATCAACACTTTCGTTCTTATCTAAGAAGTCTAGTAATGAGACGCCAATTTATAACGATAGCCAAGGCTTAACAATAATCGTCGCGTTCTCGCACAGTTAATTAATAATCGTCAATTTATTAAAATGCATTATTTATAAAAATTGTCTACGAATGGACAAACAGGAGGTGTGTGTACGACTGACGTGAATACTGACCGTACAAACCGCAAAGACAAGATCGCCGTTCACACAGATTCTACCACTTAGCAAGTAGGCCCTGAGGAAGAACTTTCACTTGCCAACCGTAACACGGAACACGATGACGCGTCGTGACGGCACGGTGACGCCGACGCCGTTATATTATTATTATTATTATAATGGGACGTAGCCATAGTGTCTACCTCAATAACATCGACTACTTCAGTTACTTACATACATATGTAAAGAATATAGTATTTACATTAAACAGTATTTTTCTTTATAAAAAAAGGAAACCAGAAATGAAATGGCGTTTTTTTTGAATATCAAAAACGGTAAAAAGTTATTTTCTGTTTTTTTTTTGCTTACTTATACGTATGTAGAATGGAATGCATTTAACGAATCGCGTTACTTTCAAGTGCATTTCCCATTTTTCTCGAAGACAAATCGTCCTATCGAGGTCTATAAAATACCATTGTGTGGGTATTTTAATTATATATCTCCAAATGGTATATTAAAAGTCACAAGATTTATTGAATACAGGCACATTCCATTCCAAAGTAAAGTAAAAAAACGAAAAACAAATAACCTCTTGTTACCATTTTTTTTTGTTCAAAAGAAACCTGACAATGCTGTCAAGCAATAAGCCTTTTTATGTCGGAAAGTCACATAATATGAATGAAATATTCACGGCAGGAAAACATGCAATATTCTTCGTTCCAAATGACATACACTTAATGAACACCCTGTATGGACACGAAACCCATTTTGATCTTGTACCCTTCTAGGTATTTACATGTATGATAGTGACATGCATTTATAAAACGATTCACCAAATGACCTTTCTTCTGCCACAGCAGTTATGTAACGATCACAACTATGTACCGATATAATCAATGCCACAAATGCAACATTTAAGTAAGCCATAATAGTACGCATGAGTTTGGACATTTGATGAAAGAAAGATGTTATTAACCACCTACGCATTTGTTATTGCTGTACGTTCATTATGTACTTAAACATAATTAGACAATTGATGGTCAAAGACATTAATCAATAAGTACTGATATTTGAGGCATTCAAAAAGCATAAAAATTTCCACAGTATGATTTATTTTATTTAGATAGATTTTTTCAATAAGGTGTCAATTTTTTGTTCGAAAATTCTCTAATGTTTTGTTATTATCGCGCAGTGAAATATGAAACTGACCGTCAGTGATCTCTTATCTCTTACGACAGAGATAATTAAGAATCATTTTGTAATGTTCTCACCATCATACGTATAAACTTGGTAATTTATATTAGTTTATTGAAAAGTGAACATGATAAGAGGAACTAAGGAATTGCTCAAATTGACCATATTCCATACCGAAATCGAATTAAGTGAGTAATGATTATGTACCTACTTTATTGTTATGGTTTATTAATTATGTAAACACGTACCTACTCATTTTTTAAGGGCGTCTCTCGCTAAAACCATTTCACGATCATTTCAAAATAATATTTACACATGGAAACGAAGAAAACGGTAATCCTTCACAAATGCTTTACTATTTTTGGTTGAGAGATCACTGTAGGTAATTTTCTCTTTTATTTTTATAACTTTCATTCGTTTTTAATTAATGGCAATTTACAGATGTGGAGAATGCATCAATAGCAGAACATTTCAAAAATCTTATCATATATTGGATATCCCGTTAAATGTTAAACCCATCCAGTATCACCTTGAAGAAAAACAACTGTCAGTTATATGTAAGTTCAATTTGCACCTTTAATAAGACGTGTTTTTTCGAATTTTATTTGAGATGCCCCCATGGTTTCTGTAATTATAAATTATACTCCTCAAAATGCAATTACCTATTATTTTTCAGGGGACGACGGGCATAGTTCTGAATTTTCTTTAGAATGGCTCAAAAATGTACACCAGCCTATTGTACGTCAGAGAGAATATTTTTTTTGGAATAAAGATACGGGAAGCGATATTGTGGATAACTCAATTTCTTTAGATGAAATTAAAAAGAATAAGACCAAGTGCCAAATAAAATTACTTAAATCTCTTTTAAAATACGGATTTGCATTTATTGCTGGCGTAAGGATAGCGTTATTTATAATATGTTATTTGTTTATCTATTTTCTCATTTTATGTAGATCGAGCCGACGCTTAATGCTACCGAAAATGCTATAACGACTTTTTTCCCTGTTAATAAGACACATTTTGGTGACATGTGGCAAGTGACCAACAATTATCTTCACAATGACACAGCCTACACTGATAGTTTTTTAGCACCACATACTGATAACACATATTGGACAGAAGCCGCTGGGTGAGAACTTTTATTGAATGACATTCATTTGAAATATCAGTTACATTCAAAATATGAATACCGAAACTTAAATACCAATCCCTACTTGTTATATTATGTACTTCAAATGCCTTATTCTTGTTATAATCTTTTCTAAACTTGTTGCAAAAAAAAACGGGTATTTATAGTATAAGGGCGAAATTTCGGGGATATGCCTGGACGTCGTAACTGCCTCCAGACTTAACGATACGGTAGACAATCTCCGTGCAGGAGGACGGGCAGGACTCGTGGTGGAAAAGAAGTCGCCGGCCACCCTGAGGGACGTGTCATAAAGCTTTTGAGAAGGAGATGCTTTCCGGTCCTCTTTATAAGCTGTACGGAGGCCGAGTAGGACGAAGGGAAGCCGGTTCGGCCATGGTGTCTCTGGGTCGCACATGAGAGCACCTTCCTTGGTGCGATGTTAGCGCTTCACCATCCCGTTGGACTGTGGGTGGAAAGGCGTCGCGTGGATTCTGGAGACTCCTAGAAGCCTGGTGAACTTGAACCCTTAATCTGAGGTGAAGGGCAGAAGGGTATTGTAAAGATTGATCCATCGGTCAACGAGAGCCTTGACGACGGTAATGGCCTGCTGGCCACCTGTCGATCACGATAAGGCAGTACTGGTACCCTGTATACAAAGGCAGTTTGACGATGTCGACGTGGATGTGGTCGAAGCGTCTTTAGGTACTTCGGAGTTGCCGAGGACCGAACGGTTGTACGAGAGGGTAAGAAAAATCGATGAACGGGTATTTGGTGAGCTTTTATTTTCAATGGCGATTATCGGAAAACGACCGCAACACGCACACTACACCACACTCTCGTCCGACGTCATGAACACTTTTGCAGCTGTTGATGCAACACAGGAAAAAATCGCGAAAAGCGAATAAAGTCAGTAAGTCGGGGCCATCAATATGGATGCACTACGATAGGCGTTTGAAAGCCACGGGAAATCGGAAGGCTAGGATCCGAGGTAAACACAAAAGAACGGCACCAGGAACAACTATTCTCTTTTCAATCGCAAAACACTCACCGCGGAAGCGACCAGTGGTGGAATACAATATAGACAGATGTATTTATGTATTATCACGTACATGCTTGTAGATAACAGTAATATCAAACCCTGACGATCTTTTGTGATTTAAGTAAAACGAATGGCATGAGCCAAAAATTTTACGCAATTTTTGTGTTAATATGCTTGCTTGTACACTTGTTTTAGTTTAATAGCATTTCACATGCTTTCTTATGAGGGTACAGGAGGAAATACACTATTGGTTGACGGATTCAACGCCGCCACTAATTTAAAAAACAACCGTCCAGAGTTGTACGATACTTTAACAAAAAATGTAATTGAATGGGAATATGTGGACGAAGGCGTTCATTACAGTAACATCGATCATATAATTAAACATCATCCATTAACAAAGGACTTATGGCAAATTCGGTAAGGTTTCTTTCACATTATTTGCCTATGTATAAAACAAAAAAAAATTATTACACGCCCTTCTATTGTTTTCGAGACTTTTAGAACTATTTCATTTTCTTTATGCGCGTGTAAAATGTAGAATATGCATGATACTGTGTATTATTACATGTAGAATGAGGAAACTCAGTCTTACATTGTATATAATTTTGTATCTTATATTCATAACGACATGCAAGTGTTAATGTAGTTGCATAAGACTACGTATTTTTAGATTTAATGTTTATGATAGAGCAGTACTAAGAACACTTCCTTCCGAAAAGATACTAAATTTTTATAAAGCGTACACAGCATTTGGGGCAGAAATTGGAAATAAAAACAATGAACTTAATATAAAATTAATACCCGGTACAATTTTGTTAATCGATAATTGGCGGGTAATGCATGGCAGAGAATCGTTTACTGGTTTAAGGATTTTGGGAGGATGTTACGTATCAAGAGCAGATTGGTTAAGCACAGCCAAAAACTTTGGGCTTTCCGTCTATTAATTTTCCTACGAATTAAAAAAGGTACTTTTTCTTTTGACTCAAAAGAAATCACAATTCTACTTAGATTAAAAAGAAATAACTATAAAATTTTATTACAAACAAGACTAAATTAATGGTATCAGATAATGGGTACATTTAACATTTTCTAAACGTCTAATTTTTAAATAGAAGAGTATATTTTGTTTAATAACAGTACACTGTATATTTGTTATTTTTCCGTTTATACGCATGTCGGCCTCAAAGAATTCGCCTTATTCGTTCAGAGCATAATCTCGTGTCTAGGCTGAATCAATTAAATGTGACCCCACAATTAACATGTCACGTTACTTTTAACATGTAACCATATGTTTTGTTTTGAATATGTAAAATCAATATATTCCATTAAAATAACACACTTGTGTATTCATTACATTTCCTTTTTGTCTACACGAGAGCCAACCTTCCTGGCGTTTACCACTTTGCCAGAAAAAGGTGAAAACCAGAAAAGTTCAATCTCGTAATATGATGATCATTCGTCCACATCATTGGGGGATCTGTAGGCCTATTTGTGGTTAATGCATCGCAAGAAGAGGTAAACCCCCAGACTTTACCACTTTGCTTTAATAAGGTGAAAGCCAGAAAAGCTGAACCTCGTAATGTGGTGATTACACGTCCACATCACGGGGGCGCTGTAGACCTTATCGTGGCCAATATCTATATCGCTTAAAGAAGAAACCCCCCCTAACCGTCACCATTTTGCCTGAAGAAGGTCAAAACGAGAAAAGTTGAATCTCCTAACGTGGTGATTATTGGTGCATACCATTGGGGGCTCTGTAGGCCTAATTGTGGCCTGTCCATCGCTTAAAGAAACAACCCCCCAATCCTTGTCATTCTGTCTGAAAAAGGTCAATACCAGAAGAGTTGAATCTCCTAATGTGGTACTTGTTGGTCCATATTATTAGGGGCTCTCTAGGCCTAATCATGGTCAGTCAAAAATGCTTTCACCAATAGTTGGTCCGTACCGTAGTGTACAGGAAAAATTTAATTACGAAGGAAAAAAATATAAACATTTTTAAAAATTTTGAATTTTTCATCAACACCGAATGACGTTTTTATTTTAATTAAGCAATATTGAAACTTTAGTTTCTCCTTTATTATAGGGTCTATGACTATCACATGAGGGACACAGAAAGAGCCCCACGTAAGGACAATATAAATAGAAGTAACCGTTGAGTGTTTTGCAAAAGTTAAAAGTTCAATTTCAACCCTATTATAGGGGCTAAGATTCTCAAAATCTTTCAGAGAACGTGGAAGGAGCCTCACACAAGGATAATAAGGGCAGAAATAACCGGTGAGCATTTTGCACCGCTCATTTTTAAAATCGTCTTGTTTATACTATTATTTTAATTAAGCAATATTGAAAGTTTATTTTCTCCCTTACTATAGGGTCTAAGATCGTCAATTTCACATGAGGGACGTAAAAGGAGCCCCACGCAAGGACAATATGGACAGAAGTAACCGGTGTGCTTTTTGCACCCCTAATTTTTAAAATCTCTTTTTACATCTAAGAATGTCAAAATCATATGAGCGACGTAGAAGAAACCCCACGCAAGGACCAAATGGACATAAGTAACCGCCGAATATTTTGAACCATTTTTTGTTAAAATCCTCTTGTTTGTTAGCATCTAATTCTTAAGTAAGTGATCCTTGTTTTTTTTGTTGTGTATATGACGAATAAGTTATTGTAATGTCTTAAAGAATGCTTAGCCGCCTTCGTGTGATGATGCAAGCGAGTTTTAATTACAACACTAGTATAAACTTCACCAGTACATTGTTCGAAACATTAACTTGCTTTTTATTTTTAGGAAGCCGTTTAAGTAATTCGAAATCACAATTAATTTATTAATAGCTACACTTATGAACAGAGGAGCCGTTTGATAATTATTCCAGTAGGGTATGCAGGTAATGCTAGTAAAGAGGCTGAACGGATCATATCTAATAGTGAGTTCATTTGGACATTATATTATAGGCTAAATTTTTGAAACTGTAACATGTTTATTTAATTTGACCAGGGTATGCTTTGCTCTGTCTGGTATTTTTCCGTTCATGTATCGTTGTCGCATGGAACGCACCCAATTTCTTCATAGCATAAATTGAGGTTAACATGCATCTACGGTAATGTGATACTGTTATTTTGACAATTTATTGTGTTTTGTAATGTGTATGCTTCTTCATTGTAATACTTTTGTTGATTTTGGTATTTCAGTTGGTTTTTGGTGCGTTTTTGTTATTTATTTCATGTTATTTACTAAATCAATTTGTTAATTTGTTTTTCATGTCGATTATTTTAAGATGGTTGACTTAATAGTCTACTGTAGTGTAGGACTCTCTGGACTTTGTTGTTTGCTGCTTACCATTAACCTATAACGAATTTGCAGTCAAATGGCAATGCAATATCAGGGGATCGTGTTTGTGATTGTGTCAGCATCTAATTCTTAAGTAAGTAATCCCTTGTTCTTAGTTGTTGACCATATGTTGATTAAGTGATTATGATGTCTTAAAGCAACACTGAACCACCTTCCTGTGATGATACAAGGGAGTTTTTATTAACAAAACTAGTATAAAATTCCCCAGTACAATGTTCGAAAAGGTTAACTTGCTTTTTATAAGAAACGAGCACTTTACTATTAGCAAGCTGTTTAAGTAATTCGTAATCACAATTAATTATACAAAGTTACAATGATGTCTTAAAGCAACACTGAACCACCTTCCTGTGATGATACAAGGGAGTTTTTATTAACAAAACTAATATAAAATTCACCAGTACAATGTTCGAAAAGGTTAACTTGCTTTTTATAAGAAACGAGCACTTTACTATTAGCANTATAAAATTCACCAGTACAATGTTCGAAAACGTTAACTTGCGTTTTATGAGAAACGAGCACTTTACTATTAGCAAGCTGTTTAAGTAATTCGTAATCACAATTAATTTATAAAAAGTTACACTTATTTAAATCACTCAATGAATAGAGGAGCCGTTTGACAATTACTTCAGTAGGGTATGCAGGTAATGTTAGTAAGGAGGCTGAATGGATCATATGTAATAGTGAGTTCATTTGGACATTATATTATAGGCTAAATTTTTGAAAATGCAACATGTTTATTTAATTTGACCAGGGTATGCTTTGCTTTGTCTGGTATTTTTCCTTTCATGTATCGTTAGTCGTATGGAACGCACCCATTTTCTTCATAGCATAAATTGAGGTTAACATGCATCTATGGTAATGTGATGCTGTTATTTTGACAATTTATCGTGCTTTGTAATGTGTTGGTTTCTTCATTGTAATGCTTTTGTTAATTTTGGTATTTCAGTTGGTTTTTGGTGCGTTTTTGTTATTTATTTTATGGTATTTACTTAATGACATAATTAATTTGTTTTTCTTATCGATTTTTTGCAGATAGTTGACTTAATAGTCTACTGTGCTGTAGGACTCCCTGGACTTTGTTGTTTTCTGCTTATAATTAACCTAGAACGAATTTGCAGTCAAATGGAAGGGCAGTATCTGAGAATCATCTATGTGATTGTGTGAGCATTTAATTCTTAAGTCAGTAATCCCTTCTTCTTAGTTGCTGACTATATGTTGGTTAGGTGATAATGATGTCTTAAAGCAACGCTGAACCATCTTCCTGTGATGATACAAGGGAGTTTTTATTAACAAAACTAGTATAAAATTCATCAGTGCAATGTTCGAAAAGTTTCAGTTGCTTTTTATAAGAAACGAGCACTTTACTATTAGCAAGCTGTTTAAGTAATAGGTGTTCACTATTAATAAAAACAAAGAAGAAAAACAGAGAAGAAGATTGATAGATAGCTGAGCTGATCATAAATATCAGTGAGTTCATTTGACATTGGGCTACTTTTGTTAATTTTGCTACTTCATTTCGTTTATGGTGCTTTTTTGTTATATGTTTCATATTATTTCTTTTATAACAGTTAATTTGTTTTTCTTGTCGGTTATTTACAGATCATTGACTTAATAGTCTACTGTGCTGTAGGACTCCCTGGACTTTGTTGTTTGCTGCTTACCGCTACCCTAACAACAATTGGCAGTCAATAATGGTGGGAATAAAGGCCATTATACTGTTTATTCATATAAACTGATAAATAAGTTCATAATTACATTAAGGCGCTATGCATGCTATAGCTATAGAAGATGAGTTAATGATTCATAGTGAGTACATTTAACATTCTAGTGTTTTTATTAGTTTGAAATACATAAGAAGTACATTTTCTTAAACAACTGTACAGTAAGTTTCGAAGTTGTCATATGTTATTTGTTTAATAATGCTACGCTGTGTACTTGTTATTTTTCTGTTCATCTGAATTCGAGCCTCATATCACCATATCCCACACCCAAGTCTCGTACCCTAAATGCGACACCGCACATCCACAGCAAATGGCCACACACTTCATGCCCCAGTTATGCCACCTATCGCGTAACACCATACACACATCTAACGCCACTCCCAGATCTGGTATCTCAAATCCGCTTCCGATGTGTGTTGAACGCCTCATGCGGGAGTGGCCCTATCTCGAGGTCGCGAATGTTGTGCCAGGTATCCCATGCGGTATTCGGACAGCAATATTCCGGAATCGGGGTGCGGTGTTTGCTGCAGAGGCCGGAGGTCCCTAGTCAGATTTCGATGTCCGGTATGAAGAGTGCGATATAGGGGTCCGTGCCGGTATTAGAAATTCGGAACTAGGGGTCAGGGGTAAGGTACTGAGGTGCTGTACGAGAGTGTGAGGCGCTGGAGGTCGGGAGTGTTGTATCAGGGTGCGGTGTCAGGAAAGATGGGGTGCGGTGTCCACGTTCGGTACTATGTGTGGTGTGAAATATATTTTTGGTATCCAGGTCCGACGTTCTGAACGTTGTGCCAGGGGTGCGACATTTGGTGTCGTCGATTGGGTATTCTCGGTATTTGATGCACGGTACTTTGTTTCAGATAAGCGCCGTTCGGCGTAGTGTTCCTATGACGGCATTCAACAACTAGTGGATAGTATGTGGAAACCTACGGACGTGAAAGGTATTGTGCCTTGTATCTGTTGGCGCCCCTTGTTTGTTGCAAGGCATTCGGCAACTGATGTGTAGAACATTCGGCGTTGCGGTCTAGAAATGCAGTACTCGGTAGTCAGTGAGTTGTGTCCGGTGTCAGGAGATTATGCCTTGTCCGATACGGTTCACCAGGGTTCATGTAACAGGTAAGTGATAAACGTTACGTTTTTGGTGTCTAGTAGCACTAGATGTAGGGGTCGTCTCGTCAGGTTAGGTCAGGACAGGTAACGTCTGGGCATTTCGGGTCAGATCAGGTGGAATCAGTTCAGGTCGGGTTGGATCAGGTCAAGTTGTATTGGGTCTGGCAAGGTCGGATTAATTCGTGTTGCGTCAGAATAGGTCAATTCAGGTCGGGCATGGTCGGATTAGGTCAGGTGAAGTCGGGTCATTTCAGGTCGAATTAGATCATGTCGGGTCAGATCAGGTTGGGTCAATTCCATTCAGGTCGGGTCGGGCCAGGTCAGGTCGCATTGGGTATGGTCAGGTCGCGTTAGCTCGTGCTACGTCGGTTTAGGTCATGCCAGTTTGGGTTCGGTCAGGACAGGTAAAGTCTAGTCACATTAGGTCGGGTCAGGTTAGGTGGTGTCAGTTCAGGTGAAGTCGGGTCATGTCGAGTCCGGTAAGGTTAAGTTGGGTCGGGTCGTTAGGTCAGATCGCGTTAGTTAGGGTCATATAGAGACAGTTTAAGTCAGGACAGGTCAGGTGAGGACGTATTAGGACGGGTCAGGCCAAGTTAATTCGTGTTGCGTCGGGTCCAACCCAACCAACCCCACCCTACATAATCCAACCAAACTCAACCCAACATAACCCAACCCAACACAACTTAATCCAACCAAACCCAACCGAACCCAACATAACCCAACCAAACCTAACCCAACATAACTCAACCAAACCCAACATAACCCAACCCAACCCAACCAAACCCAACAGAGCCCAACCCAACCCAACCCAACATAACCTAATCGAACCCAACCCAATCTAACCCAACATAATCCAACCCAACC